CCGTCCCATCTCCGGGTCTGTTTTGTAAACCCAGATAAAACAAATAAAGGCGGCGTAAACCCGCCGCTCAGAGGCGAGCGCTCGCCTCCGAGCGGGACCCGTATTATTGTGGGCGGCAATAAAAACAAGCAGGCCCGTTTGCTGCGACGAGACGTGCCGCGTTTAGTGCCCCCAGGCGAAGGTAAAGTGCGGTTGCGTTAATTACTGAGTGGAGAACTTACAAAAAACGACAAGAGGTCATAAAATACAGGGACCCGGAACGATCTGCGTGGACAACGAAGATCGCCCTTCCCAGGCGTACGTCGGCTCCTGTAAAAATCTTATCGTTTTGAAACGCCGGAATAACCAGTGGACGGCTCTTTGTAGGTTAGGCTGTTTTTTTGGTTTTTCCCCCCACCATGAAGCCTCCCGCCCTGAGGCACAAGTGGGAACACAGGTGAAGTTTGTTTCCACAATTTTCGTGTAATCCGATTGGCCGAGTAAACAGAATATCGGTAGAATAATCAAAGCCTAAGACAATTGGAGAGCCCGTTGATTACCGCCTGCCGTGTGCTTGTGCAATGTTTTGCCGATTTCACATTAGACACGGTTGTGTTTGTTTCCAATCTCTCGTCGCTTCACTGCTGTACTTTTTTTTCCGTGCTCCTTTTGAAATATATTGGCGGCCCAGGTCACCCTTGCGAATCAGACTCCGATCGTCGTCTCTCGGGTACTCACCTGGGTCACGCAAAATCAACTCGCACGTTTAAAAAATAATCGATTCTTCAATTGTTTGTTGTCCTTCCCCCGCACCCCCGATTAGCACGGTTGGCTACGTGCGGTGAGAAGGAAGATAAACATACACGCATACATACATATCATCATCAGGTGATGATTGCTTGTGTTGCTTGTGTTGCAGTCGAAAACGTCGTGAGAATTTTATTGTTTTATATTTTTATTATTTTATTGTTTCCCTTCTACGTGACGTAACCGAAAGAACCAAGAATATTAATGCCTGCAGTCACGAAAACTTTAAATCAAAATTTATACACGCATACGTAAGAGGTTTTTTTTTAGCTCTTCCGCGTAAATATAAATGTGTCGGTCAACCCACACACATACAACTGAATTGCGACCCGCAAATTGTGATGGTGCAAATCAACGAGCGCACTCACAGCTTCCAGACAACCTACTGTGAAACCAGCGCCCCATCAACCGCCACTGCTGGCCTCAAACCCTTTCATTAACACTCCTTTTTTAAAATCTTAAACCCCCATGCCTTCGGTCCAAAACTTTCCAAGAAAAACAGACTTGCCCATCACGGTATAATCCCGCAATCCACACGCCCAGGACTTCAGTCACGGTCGGCTTTTTACACGTGGGGGGAGGAGAGAGAGATTCACGTCGGGCCTCTGCTATTGACGCTTAAACCTTTAACGACCCGGCCACCAGCGATTAACGCCTCTTTTGGGATTTCGCGCTAGGCAGCTGGAGGCAAGCGGTGGCGCGGCACCGCCGCTCTCTTCTCACCGCCATTATCCCTTCACCGCAACCGTCCCGAGACGCTGAACACCGACGCGGCAATACGGCTCGCTTCACCGAACTCTCGACTATTCGGCTGCAAATCCAAAGTCTGCCAGCTTGGGGCCCGGGACCTGGCATCCCCAGTCGCTGAACATCCACATGGGCGGCATGAACCACGCATCGCGGCGGAATGGCGACGCTACGATGTATCGTACGGCATAAGATGCACGATAACCGTGACGTCCGGCTTGCATATTATCATTATCATATCGTGGTTTTATCGCCGCTCATTTTAATACTCTGACATACTTTACTCACCAATATGGGGTTGGTTAATCGTACCATGACTACTGAAGACTCATCAGCGAGAACACCTTAACATTTTAAATAATATCGTGAATCCAGTGCAGGGTTAAGGCCTCCCCACGCCGCGTTAGTCGTGGTGGTTTGATTGGGCACACTTCGCCACTGAACTCAGGACGCTGGATTCGTAGCACAGTCCTGTGGACGTCTTGTGGATAGACTCGACGCCGCCACAGGACAGCGGAATTACCGCCAATGGCTCAGGGTTGTAAACGGGAGATAAACGCCGCCGCAATTGTCATTTGAGCAGGAAATCACCGTTGAGGAGCAGGGTGACTTTAAACCAGGGTTGGACGTCCACAGCCTCGAGAGCTTTCCCATCAGGGATCCATAAATCGACCATGGTAGCCTTCCTGACCCTTCGTAAGGTCAGGTATACGTGCGTATGTTGAATTTATTTCGCACCGTACGTAGCCCGTGCTAATTGGAGATGCAAGGTGGGTGGATGTCTCTATTATGGATTTCGCCTGATGAAGCTAGTTGTAATTACTTGCAAAACGTCATACTCAGATTGTAAATGTTGTGGCTTGGCTCTCCAACACACCGGTGTGCTGTACTAGTGACGAATTGGCACGTTCTGTTTACGTGACAAACCTTACTAGTTGGCTGTGTCGGGTGGTGGCGAGTTTAACGACACATTTATATATTTATGCGATCTAACCCAAAAAAACTCTATTACAAAGCAGTTCTAAAAAAAATGAGTTTTCAATCTTAGATTTAAAGTGCAAATCTCCAGATCGGCAGAGCTTGGTCCCGTCTCCGAATGCGTTTGCGTTAGCCTGCGGGTGTTAATTTTAAACCAGTTGTACACAGCCTGACCACACCAGAGCCACCCTGTTGCCTCCAGATGAACAAATCCAATTTTGATGGATGCGAGACATTTCACATGATTGTGTATGACTCAACACCGGTGTAAATTGGGTAATAACAAGTATCCTTACACAGACACACATTCACACCTGCACACAAGGGCACACAGACGAACTGCACACACAAAACAAAGACCCATGTTTGGGCTTATAGACTGTTGGGGCAAATACTTTAAGTTCGCACCTGTTGGATCCCGCGTGACGCACAAAGGTGCGGTATGACCAGCACCTTGCCTGGCTGCCTTTGTCTTCCCAGTGCTGATGTTTACACACCACACCAGGTACTGATCTAAGGCCAAGTCGAGATATATGCGGGTCAGAACCATCTCGAATAACACTTGCCACTTATTTTAGCCGAGGCTGGAAATCAAACTCAAGTTTGTTGGTTTGTAATGCAGCGCACTAACCACTGCGCCACCGCTTCCCGCGTGCGCACACACAAACGTGCAACTCAAATACGAATACTGTTTGTGGACCTACCAGAAGCAGCGATAAACCCATTCTCTACATGGCCATTAAACAGCACGGTTAACAAGGAAACGGCGCTGCCAACAAATGTGTTCCCAAATGTCGTATTAATATGAACAATCGAGCCCCGGATATTATATTTCAGACGAAACAAACAAAAAACCTAGTTTGGTTTGAAAACTTTGCCTTTACAGGAAGTGATGTCACTCCCGCGATTTGACTGCTAAAGGTGGTGTCACGTGGCATCAGGTGACGTCACTATCGTTAGCACGAAGGCGTTTAAACGTATTGCGTGGCGCAATTGATCCAACGAAGATGCGATGGCGAGATGTTAATTCCTTCGCCTGGTATACAGGAGGTCGTGAGTTCGATCCCGGCTCTGACGCCTACTGTATATTTGGAGTTTGCATGTTCTCCCCGTGGTTGTGTGGATTTTTCTCCGGGTCCTCCAGTTTTTCCCGACATTTAGAATCAACATCACGCATTTAGAGTATTTGGCTGCTATAAATGCCCACGTGATAAGCCTTTTCTTTGAGCTATCATTTGTGATTGCCAGTTTGCTTATTAAAAAGAGCTTTATAGCTCAGCGGGCCTTACCTGGTAAAATTTAAAAATAGTTTAGTTTATCATAGCACACACACACACATTTCACATGCAGGACAAGTTTGAAGAAAGCGGGACCCAAACAGCGCGCAGATGCCGACAGGGCAGCTATCAGAACCGAAGTGGCGGAGAGAGTTGCGGAGAGAGTTGCGGAGCGACGTCAGGGTCACGCACCAGCCCACACGGCGCGGGGGGGCCCTCTTTATTAAAAGGTTGCAAATGGCAAAAAAATCACGCGAAATTGCTCTCTCACTCATTTCTTCCAATAAGACCAAGGGACCGGGCCCACGAGTGGGGCGCCCCCGGGGGACAAACTGGAGAGCAACATTTCGAAAGCGAGGAGAGTGCCAAATTACCACACCGTCACCGCAGACGGCACGGCGGGTACGGCGTCAGGCAGACAGAGGATGAAAACAAACCGCGTGTGCGGATTTAAAATGAAGTGATCTCTTCCACTCGCTCGGCTCTCGTCATGCTGAAGGTTTGGTGGCTTTAGCGAGTAAAGCGCGGCCCGCTAGTTCGACACAACGTTTAGAGGCATGTGTTTAAAAGTATTTGGCTGCTATACATTTCCACAGTAATAAACAGTAGTAGTGGTTAGATTCGCCCACCGCTCCAACCACCCACGGGGTGAAGAGCATTCCCCCTGGTGAAACGTAAAGCGGCACACAGATTGTAATGGCCCAAGCCGCAGATAGCAAAGTGAATGAAACATAAACAAAGGCGCAGCCCTGCAATCGCTCGCTCACTCCACCGCCGGCAGAAGGACCTCCGCTACAGGGAGCTCGAGAGAGCCACTCTAGACAGTATTCGGCCTACTCATCCATGCGTGCCAGACGTCTCGGAGAAAGTACCCACGCTTTACCCCACCGCACACGACCCAAACGATCGACTGTCTGCAGCATGCCCATTGTATACCGCTGGATGGACGGAGGGCGGACGGATTCAAGGAAACCGGCACCACTGCCCCGACTGCTGCGCCGGTTTCACCCCCGCTTGGGGATTGCAAGTCGGGCGCCACGACCATCCAGCCACGGCAGCATCCCGAACAGGTAAACGAAAACAAAAACAAGGACGGGTTAGGGGTGGTGGAGGCGGAGGGGAGGTAGGGGTGGTGCAGGGGCGCGCGACACACCCGAGCCGGCCGTGAGTTTGCCCTACGCCGCTTGACCCGCCCACCCCCCCCCCCCTGCTCGCCGCCGCTCGGCCTCTCCCGGCCCAACCTCGGAGGCACCGCTGGCCATGGCGAGCGGCGACGGCCCATCCCACTCGGCATGCTCACGCCAACGCCAAGTTTATCCGCGTCGCCGCGGGGCGCAGACGAGCGATGATAAAAAAAAGTTCCCACCCACAGAGCTCGCAGAGTCGCACTTCGCCGAAAACCGCACCTGACGCGTCGCCAGAAAAAAGTTACCCAGACGAAGAAGGGCTCCCTCTTTCCTTTTCCCCCCAGCAGACTTTTATTATTCTCTCCAGCAATTCTGTCATCTCTCTAGAAAGAAAGCAAGTGCTCAAGGTAATTTTTCGCTTCTCGTGCTCGCGTTCACTTTGTTGGGCGCGCCGCGGGTTTAAATTGGCCGTGGGGGCCGGGATCTTTACCGACGCTCGAAGGCCCCGCGCGAGCTTTAGCAGCACGGGGCGGCGGCGGCGGCCGTGTGTTGACTCGCAGAGGTGCAGAGAGGCGAGGAACTCTCGTCACCGTTCCGGCGATGCACCACACTGGGTGGTGCGGTGCAGGTAACCGCCGCGCATGCCATCGCACACGACAACCGCACACGACAACCGCATGTACTCCTCTAAGCAAAGTGCAAACGGTGACGTTTGTCAGCGTCCATTTAACCTGTCTGCTTCGCATGGCCGATGTTGCTGTAGAGCAACAGAGATAATTTTAAATCGAGGTGGGGTTATTAATTGAGATAAGTGCGTCGGGAGTAGCGCTGCGGTGCACGGCTGCGATACCTCCTCCGTGTTTGTCAATCGGTCATCCAGTCGTTATACGTTCCATGGTCTGTTCTGGGTGACCACATTGCAACAGGGACACGTGTGTAAACCGTCTGTTGAGAACAACGGCACACGCCTTCGACGGTCGTTCAGCGATTCCCAAACTCGTGCTCCGTTGGGACAGCACGATACCTCGGCTGCTGCAGAGTAACCGCAAGGTGCTGAGCCTTGAGTCGACGTGACGAGAGAAGCGATGAATGCGAATCTTGTCATCCAACTCGAGACAAAGGCAGCAGGCCTCGGTGAAATGGCTCAGAGGCAGGAGCGGAGAAATACGCCAAGAATCCTAAGCATTTAACAACACGGCTAAGGTGCGGTCGCGCTATTTTGCGAGAGAATACAGAAAAATTATTAACGTGGCGAGTCTCCAAGGCAGCTTGCGTTTTGTTTCTGCACCGCAGCGTTAAGCCTCAGAGCGCCGAGAGCCCGATGCTAAAAGCCCGATGCTAAGAGCCCGATGCTAAAAGTGCTAATAGTTAAACAACAACAACAACCCCACCATCCCCTGCTCCCGGCCGAGCGTTCCCGGCGAAGTCTTAGAGGCGGCGAAGTCTTAGAGGCGGCAAACGCAAACTGGAAAATATCCCGGAGGTGGAACCGCCAAAGCGCCTACCGAGCAAATTTACTCGGTGAGACCGGGTGGGATGGGCAGACATCTCGGTCGGCCCGAGTTCAATCCCTGACGATGACGGGATGTGGGGGATGGTGGTGTGGGGGGGGGGGGCGCTGCCAACAACCCCGGACACTTGCCCTTCCTCCGCAAGCAGCTGCGGAGGTTCGGCGGGGGGTTGGGATCGGAAGCGCGACTTTCGGTAGTGGGGGGGGGGGTCACTGCCGCCGTCGCCGGAGCTTGCGGTGCGAGGGGCACCGGCACAGCAACGGAGGGGTCGGGGGGGGGGGGTAGCCAGCGAGGGGGCTGCCGAGCCGTCGAGTGGCGCGCGCGGAGACCGGCTGAGTGCTGGCTGCGCTAGTGGCCCACGCGTGTCACTGTGAGCGCAAGGGAGAGGCGATTGCGATGTTTAATTTTCGTGTTTCATTTGGCTTGTTTACACTGGAAAAAAGCTCACCGAGGCTCGAGACGCGTTTTCACGAGGGTGCTGCCAGGTTTGCCACGCAGTGGTATTGGTGACTAAAACTCAACAACACGTTCGTCAATAACATCGTGTGTGGGCTTCAAAAGAAACCGTGTAATAGGTGACGTTGTGGCCAATGGTCCTTCTCCATAACACGCGGCATTTTGTGCACTTGGGGCTGCGTGCGATCCCCACTTGAATACTTTGCAGATGATGATTCAGCATTGGGAATTTATTTGGCTGACAACCGTTACACTGTGCCGGTTAGTACGTTAAGGTAGCGATTTGCAGCTGTCATTGTTTATCTTACGACTGATTGAGAAAGTGATGGAAACAAAGCTACCGCGATTTGTACACAAACAGTAAGATTCGTGGCATAAAAAACCCATGGATTGTCACACCGCGCGACCCACCGTCACCCACCTACCACCACAACCACCACCACCCACAGCCACCCACAACCACCACCCACAGCCACCCACGACCACCACCATCCACTACTCACCTCTGATTAGCATGGTTGGCTACGTACGGTGCGAAACAAGTTTGACAATATAAACATACTCATAGCCACCCACCACCATCCACCACTACACACCACCACCCACAGCCACCCACAGTCACCCACCACCATTCAGGCTGCAAGACCTGACAGGTCAACAAACCCATGTGCGCGCAACTGTGCTGCCAAAACCCCACAGCCCCCTTCATGTAACAACAAGCTGCCTGTCGGTGCAAAAACTTAAAAGCAAATAAACACGAAAGTAGCGAGCAACTCTGGAATCGCAATCACCACCGCAGATGCAGCTGAACACATTATTGGTCTGGCCACGGAGTGCCCCTTCACGTCACCACGTGACCTCTGTGCTGTAATCGACGGCGCGTTTACGCGCCACCATCTCGCACGGAGACACTTCAAACGTACAAAAACATCACCCCCCCCCCGCCCGCCACCGGCCCGACATCTTGGTTTGCCGACACAAAGCTTGCAGGCGTACAGAGGGCACGGGGAGATCTGCCTCGAGCCGCATTTCCAGGGCCGCACAACCGCCGACAGTTATATCCGCAGTGTTTGCACAACACGGCCACGGCCAGTGCGGGCGGCCTCCGCCAACGACCGCGCGCTCCACCTTATCAGATTTCCACTTTGGTAACCCCATTGTTCGGGAAGCGAGCCGGCGGTCGACCCATGGATGGCCTCGTCCGTGCCACGGGGACGTGGAATTTCCACCGCGGGTACGAGCACCGCCTCCCGCTTAATTTAAAACGATGAACTCGGTGGGGCCCGGCAAACCACTCCGACTGGACCTCGCGTCAACGCGTCGATTCTGTAACGTAAAAAGGGGAACGGCGAAAACCGAGAGACGGTTTTGGTAGCGAACTCCCCCGCGAGGGCGCATTCCGTGGCTGCCTTCGCCCCTCCCCCACTGGAATTCTGCGGCGCGAACGAGGCGCCGCGTCTTCCCAAAGGTGCGCGGTTCGTGCCCCCGAGCCAGCTCCCGCCCGTCGCCCGGCCGACGAGCAACAATGCCGCCGTTTACCGCACGCCGGTGGAGCCAAGCGAGCGGCAACGAACGACGCGCGCGTTCAAAACATACCGGAGAGCGTGGTGCGCTGCCAGCGGGACGCGTGCTCACGCCGCGGCGCTGCCAACGGACGGGGCGAGCGACCCCACCAGGGATTTACTTTCTCGGTCGCGAGCGAGAGCGCGACCTAGGTCCAAGAGACCGACGTAGACGAGTTTCTGCCCCGGTCACGAGGGCCGTCGGGGTAGCACGCTCGGGAGCAACCGGTGCGCCGACCGTCACTTGCCGCAATTCCACGAACGTTCGTGATTATAAGCTGACGTTTTTGAGTCAAGAATCATTGAATATGTTTAGCTTTTTTTGTTTGTTTTATCATCCCGTCCGACTCGTACCGTCTCTAGTTTTTTCTGTCTCGTGAGCACAGTTCGGTTCGCTCATTCGGCGCAAAATGGGAGATGATCGTATAATTCACTTGGCATGTATCGTGAGCGCAATGAGCCGATCTTAATCGGTGAACCACCATGTACCTAGTAGCGCCCAACCCACTTCAAATGGTGCGGAGCCTGACGTTGTAAACTTCGCAATGCCATCAGAGAGAAGGGGTCGCTCTCTCTCTCGGGGGCGCGACCGCTTCTGAGTTCCACTTCTGAGATCCCGCAAGGCAGCACTCATCTTTGCTATCAACCACCCGAAGGAATGCATTCCCACCGGGCGGTTGCGATAGGTCGGGGCACGTCGCGCGAGTTACAAGTTCAACTCCCAGTTGGGGGTCACCTGTCACTTCAGTCTCTCCTGGGTCGACACAATGACAAGTGCTGTTGTGGACAAGCTGGGATTTTTCACCTGGCCTTGTCTGGGAAGGGATGACGGAGCGATGGAAGGCGCGCCGAGAGAGCCCAATGGGAACTGCTTCGCACTCCGCCTGCTCCTTCACTCGTGAGCGGAGAAGAGAGCGCCGCAAACGAGGGCACGCGTCGCAGCACTTGGTTTCGGTTTTTTTGTCTGCGGTAGGCCGGCGACAAAAGCTTTCGCAGAAAGACGAGCAACTCGGACAGCGGTGACAGCGGCGCTCGTTATCACGATAACACAGGAGGAGGATTTCTCCACAAACGTGGCTGTTGCCTGATGATTCTAGTTGTAATTACTGTAGAAACGTCATACTCAGTTTGTAAATGTTGTGGATTTGCTCTCCAGCACACCGGTGTGTTGTACTAGTAACGATTTGGCACGTTCTGTTCACGTGACCAACCTTACTAATTTGGCTGTGTCGGGTGGTGGTGGGTTTAACAATACATTAATATTTACACGATCTAATCCAAAAAACCTCTATTATGGAGTAAAAGCATCTTTAACAGGTGAAATCTCATGATTCAACGGATGAATTCAATTATTAAAAATAATTATAAATAATTATTTGGTAACCCCATTGTGGAGAAGCAAACTGGCGGTCGTCCCGTGGATGGACTCGTCCGTGCCACGGGGACGTGGAATTTCCACCGCTGGGATCAGCGCCGTGAACGGGGGATGAGCGCCGCCTCCACTTCATTTAAAACTCTAAATTAATGAGAAGTAATTATTTTAATTATTTCAATGTGGAGGAGAACAAGTCCCCACCCCCCCCCCCCCCCCACATCGTGTCAATAACCAGGGGCTCTGACAACAATATTCCACCATTCTATCGGGCACAGCAGTGTATGTTGTGTGTTCACATATCAGATGTCACTTCTCGTACGCCATGCCGGCCAGTTACGAGCACACGCTGCGAGTCCAATCAGCCAAGTAGATCAGTTGAAATCGTTATTTCTTTTGGACAGTTGACGCGACTGGACACGGGGAAAGAATAATCGAACGAATATGACAAGGGCCAGCAATAAACACTCAGAAAATGCCCTCTGCGGCAGTCAAGAGGTGGCGGATTACTAAGTGGACCCGTGGTGGTCGGGACCACACAACGATCTGTGGCTGCACACAACAGATCGAAGCAACGGCATCAGCATGATTTTGAGCGGCTAACGATGACCGTGACGGTAATGACGACGACGACAACACAAGACGAGTGTGGGACTCGCTGCTAATTTCCAAGGCAGCATCAGGTGACGGTGGGGGGCTGGGGGGGAGGCGGGGTGGGTGCGGAGCGCGCGCGGGGGTGGGGCGGATTTCTCAGTCAGGTGTTTTTGGGACTCGTAAATGTTATCGTAAATAAATAAATAAGCGCCCCAAACCGACCCGGTTGGGTTTGGGTCAGGCTGCCGCTGGTCTGGACTTGGCTCGGAGTCGGCAGCGGAATCGACGGTGGCCAGATTGGACCGTGTCCTCATCATAGCCGGCGGGCCAAACGAGCCCAGTTCGGCCAGCTTTCGGCAGGTTTCGACAGACGCGAGCCCGCGGCGGAACGCGTTTCTTATACAACGCCGCGGAACGCCGCATCCTCACTCGTTTCGAGATATCGCAGCGTCGAGCTTCACCGCTGGGGCAAACGAGACCTTAAGCGCCGTGGATCGGCCCTCGCGCTCAGGAGCGCCTCCGCTACTCCAGAGGGTCCCCCGGCGGCAGATGAGCCGCTTCAGCCGAGGAGTTGTGTTCCAGTTTTTTCACCGGTCCTTCAACGAGCCGTCGAGAGGTACGTTTGCCAACGAGTTTAGATTTTGGTTTTGATTTGCATTTTCGCTTCAAGTATTCAGTTTGACTCAACGATATTTCATTTCAAGTGTTCAGTGTAACCTTTTTTTCTTCTCTCCAACCACCGGAATTTTCCCCGACTTAAAAAAAGAACAAATAGGCGTCTGCGTGTGCGTGTGTTTAAATACTGGTCACAGCCAAATGAAGTTGGTTCAACGTAAGATTAAATGTTTGATGAGTGACTAAGTTAAGCTTGGGTCTAAAAGTTACTTTACAACTTTACAACTCCGATTAGGCACGTATTGGTGTGACAGTACATTATGGTTTGACAGTACATTAGTATTACTTCAATTGCACATGAACTACCTTATGAAAAGGATGCGCGATAAGGGCCATTGCCCAAAACGTCGCCTATTAAAAATGTTTTATATCTTTTTTCTTTTACGGCCATAGCGTTGAGTAGTTGTTGTTAGCTGTGCTCGTGCACGGCTGCCAACCCAGCAGCGCCGTCACCAAATACTTTGTTATAACGCGGATGGCAATTTCATCTTCACGTCTTTTTCCGCTTGTAAAAAAACTAAACAATACATACAGCAACTCAATGAATTACCGTAGTTTGCTGTACGCAGTACAACCATCGCTTTGCTACAACGTTTAAAAAGTCGAGAAGAAGTGAAGATGCATGTGCAGCGCGGTTACATTTCGCATCGCAGGCACAAATAGCAGCGCCATGGAATTTTACGAAAAAAAACGTGCCGCGCTACGCGTCCCCGCGCGGCGGTCAATGTTGCGCAGATCGGCGGCGCTGATCTGGTAAACCCAGGATCGCCCATTTGTTGCCGCGCCATGCCACAAAACCCACCGGTGTGTGAACGCACGCACGTACGCACACACTCGCGTAACAAACCGCGTACATCCAGCGCCGCCCGCCCACTACTCGTGTTTGCCGAATGATGACCGCGAGTGGATGTTCTATCTCACGATAGCTGCGTGCGTGCGCGAGCAAAAGCCCCGAGGCAGAGCAGCGCTGCGTCGCGCGACAGACAGTCTCGAAGGAATATTTGAATAAGCGCTGCCGGCTTGTACCCGTCTCTCGGCCGAGATACTACGGGGAGGGACGGCGAGAGGGGGACGGGCAAGCCCCCCGCCCAGCCTCCTTAATTCCATTCGGAATAACACCCGCGGCACAAGGAGGTCATTTCCAGGCTCGGTTCACGGTGGGCACAGTGGGTGGGGAGACAAAGCTGCGAGCGGGGTCAACGAGAGGGGACGGCAGCTCTTAACCTTGCACAAAGCGCCCCCCCCCTGCAGCTTCCGACGCATCATTCTCTGCGTTGTGCCAAACGCTTCCCTGTCACGCGTGCAACGCGGTGTCTTTGGGTGTGGATATTGGCAAATCGCGGAAGTCGGGGTCAGCCGGGCGGTGGTTAAAGTTGTCCGTGAGCGCCGGGTTTTAATCGCTGTCAGGACAGGCGAGATTCTTCATCCAACATTGCCTCTGTCCATCCACGGGCTGGCTTGTACGGGGAGGTAAAGCGAAGGAACCTCCCGGGGGGGTTTGAGTGGCGGCATCTCCTTCCCTTTGTGGACACCCCCACTGAGTGCACGCCGGCGCTGACCTTTGCCAGGAAACGTCGCTGACTCGGGGGGTGGAATTCTCGTAACCGGAGCGATGATACAACTCTGTTTACAACCCTCGCCGTCATTCTGCCACGCAGGAAGGAAAAGTGTCCTCGACAGTGACCAACATGCAAATGATGTGCCTTTCGTCAAAGTCAAGTCTTTCTAATTTGCATCTACAGAAGTAAAAGCCTGCAGCCATTTCTGGAAATTTTTATCTTGGCAAAACTACTCAGCACTCAGGTTGACGTAATGTTTAATTTCAACATTTCCTCTGTGAACAACGTGCGTGAAAAACCTACAGCAAACATAACCTGCCTTGCGTGTAATTCGCGACCAACTGATGAGAGGATCTGACCATGGTACGTAAAGTGCGACTCAGAGCGAGCGGCTCGCAATCGGAAGGTTTCGAGTTCACATCCTGGTCGGGGTGCTCACTGAACCCATCATCCCTCCAGGGTTGATAGGAACATGGAATTTCCAGGACTAGCTCAGGGCTGTGGAGATCAGCATCACGACCGCAATTGCTGATTTGAGCAAGGAATCACTATTGATTTTCCCAATGAAAACGTTTTCTTTAGCTCAGCGAGTCGATGGAGAGGGCTGTAAGCAAGAGTTTCACCATCGCTCAAGTTACAAACATTCTGCAAAAGTAAATGACGTGGTCCGGCAAAGGTAACGCGGTGCTTGCACCTGAGAAGGTCTTGTCTCCCCCCCGCATTTGAAATCATGACCATAACCTCCTAACCCGCTTGTTTTTTGTTTTTATTGGCACGTTTCCTTCCGCAGGCTCAAATCCCCCACCCGACGAACGAATCGCTGGGCGAGCGAAGCAACCGCGGGCGGAGAGCCGCCGCGTGTCGCGACACCGCGCCTCTTCCCCCGTTCGCACATGAGCTCCTCTCGCGGCCAACGCTAAAGCCGAGGCGACCGACAGGCCGGCGAAAGGTTCCACGATGACCAACGAAGACGTCGGCTCCAAGCTGGACAAGAACATGATTCTGTACAAGAACAAGATCCGAAAACCCAAGAAACCGCACTACATCCCGAGGCCGTGGGGAAAGCCTTACAACTTCAAGTGCTTCCAGTGCCCCTTCACCTGCCTGGAGAAGTCGCACCTGTACAACCACATGAAGTACAGCCTCTGCAAGAACTCGCTCTCGCTCGTCAAGGAGGCGCTGGCCGAGAAGGCGACGGCGCGGGACGGCCTGTCGGGCGCCGACGCCAAGCTCGCGCACAGGCCCGGCAGGGGCCTCGCATCGCGCAAGGGCGGCGACGTCGTGCTGGTGCCGGAGGAGGACGGCGCGCGGGCGACGGAGGCGGCGCGCGCCCACGGCGCGTTCAGCAAGGAGAACGAGACGGACGACGCCGACCGGGCGGGCGACGAGGACGACGACGGCGACGCGGACCGCGGGCTCGAGTCGCCGGACGAGGTCAAGCGGAAGCTGCTGGAGAAGGTCCGCCGGGAAATGCAGCCCGACGACATCGTCATCACCAACGTGTACTCCGTGCAGAAGCAAGCGCCGCCGCGCAAGGGCGAGGACCGCGCCGCCGAGCGCGGTTTCCCCTTCCCGTCGCCCGCTGCCCAAGCGGCCAGGGCTCAGGGGCTGGCGCCCCGACTCGCGGCGCCCTCCATGACGTGCTACCCTCCCCCGCCGCCGCCGCCGCCGCTGCTCGGCGGCTTCGAGAGTCAGCGCCAGCAGCTGCTCTCGAGCCTGCGGGCCGGGCCGGCCCTGCTGGCCGCCGCCAACTACCCGAGCCTCTACCCGTATCTCGGGCCCCTTCTCGCGCACGGCGCCCAGCCGCCGCCGCCGCCGCTGCCGCTGAGCTACCAGCACTTCGCGCCGCACCTCAACGGGCTGGCGGGCGGCACGCGGGTACCCGTCGGCGCCGGCCAGTTCTTCCACTCCCTGCCGAGCCTCCTGGCCCTCCAGGGACAGCTCCGCATGCCCCACGTGGCGGAGGCCTGGCAGGACCTGCAGCAGCAGTACTGCGGCGGGGCCAGGGGCGACGTCAAGGCGGGGAAGCCGTTTGAAATCTCCAACCTCAGCCAGCTGCAGGGCAAGAAGGTTCCCACCGTGGTTCTGACGTCCAAATGCTGGCCGCACGGCAGTAACGGCTTCAAGCCAGACACGGCACTTCTGAATAACCACGCCGCCAAGATGAGGGCCGGCGGCGAGCCGCCCCCGAAGGTGCCGAAGCCACCGCCAAAGCCGATGGTGGAGGCCCTCCCGTTCGCCTCCGTGCTGCCGCCGAAGAAGGACTCGGGAAAACAGCAGGCTCTGGACATGAGCAGGGTGAACGGCCACTCTATGTCGGGCAGCGCGCAATCGTCTCCCAGCAGCAGCAGCAGCAGGAGCTGCAGCGTGAGCAGCTTCAGCAGCGCCAGCCCGGTGGGCGCGGACGCCAGCCGCTCGCCGCACCTCCAGCCCTCCTCGCCGCCCGTCAGCAGGTGGGCTCGCGAAACGCCGCCGCTAAATGCGGGCGCGGGTGAATGGAATTCTGAAGGCAGAGTGCAGCAGTGCCCTTCGATAGCCCTGTGTGCGAGCGGTCGCGAGAGCTTTGGGCGGTCAGCGACCGCGGAAGAATTAATAAATTAATGACCCAGGTCCGAGGTGTGAAAGCCTCCACGAATGATAAACTTGGATTTACGTGGCCTTTCAAGAGTGAGGTGGGAATTATAAAACGCAAAACACTTCTCGAATAAGTCCAGCGTAATAGAGTGTTTAATAGAGGGGAGGGTATATGCAAAGTGTCAGAGCACGCAGCCAGGTTCCATGTAATTGTGCTTGGGGAGGAGACAGCGTATACCCCATTTGAGACGCATGAAGTATCACTTCCACTTTTGGAAGTGACCTGGGTTCCAGCAACCTGGGTTTCCCAGGTTGCTGGAACCAAGTTGAGGAACGCGACGTTTTAGGAACGTTTCCCACGTAATGATAATTTCGGGGAAAATGTGCACGAGGCGATTGTAGTAAAGAGGTGAGCTGCATGAAAACTGCATTACCATGCAAGAAGCATCACGTGACATCTGGAAAGGAAAGCAACTACGTGAGGAGAGCGGACGAGGCAATGTAGAAACATTTTACAAAATGCGACAGAGAATGTAAACACTCTGCAGTCACGAAAGCTTCAAATCAAGATAGAATGTAAACAGATTGGCTTGAAAAAAAAAGGCAGCCAGAAAACATGAAACCAAACACGGTCCAATCCGAGCATTTGCAAAGAGTTTCATCAAAGCCGATTGGTACATCGTGAGTCAAACATGGCTAAGGTCGGGATTGAAAGCTGGATGCGGCCAAGAGGCCGAGTGATTCCAGAATCGTGGTGCCACCGCTGAGAACGATGCCCCACCAAATGCGCTGCCGCCATTGCCGCTGCTGTTGCTCGCCCTGGGCACGACGCATGGCGGGATGGGGTGGCGCGTCTCCCCCGCTTGCGAGCGATTGGATCTGGTTACGGGCAACGCAGCGGCTGTGGCGGTACCTTGTACTCGCACCGGAGACGAGGCTTGTCCGAACGCGTTTCACTCATGTCTGAGCGGGGCCGAAGGACGGACTCCGAATAGAAAGAGACTCGTCGTGTCGGCGGGTTGAGTGACAACTGATATCTGAACCGGTAACAGTTGGCCCCCTACACTAAACTACAGTGACCAGCATGGCGAAGCACGGCCAAAGAACCCCCATGAAAGACAGGGCATGGAAAGGCCTCGCATAAAGTTGTCTAAATAGGTGGTGTCCATGTTACGGCTTGTGTTCCTGCGCCCGTAACTCACGAGTGCCCTTCCTTCCCACTTTTGACAGATCCCAGCAAGCCAAGAGGAAATTCTCGCTGCCGTGCAGCCTCCCTGCGCTGGGCCCCCACTGCGGGATCCCCCCGAGCGCCGGCCTCCAGCACCAGCAGCAGCAGCAGCAGCACAGGCCCGGCTCGGCCAAGCCTCCGGGGCACACGGACAGGCCGCTCAACTTCAGCGTCGGATCCCTGCGAGATCCGACGGCAGGAGCCGCCGGCTCGTTCCACGGCGGGGGCAAGTTCTCGATCGACGGCGCCAACATTGGCGCCATTGAGTCCGGATCCGGGTACCCGCGCACCGCCGTTGCGACCGAAAACGCCGACGCTCGCTCCTCCGAGGCGGCGGCGGCCGAGCTCCAACAGTCGGCGGACGACGTGGAGAAGGAGCTGTCGGCCTACGAGCGCGTCGCCAGGTCCATGTCCGAGGACGGCAAGCAGGGCCCCGAGGTGCAGGAGAGGCTGAGGAGGATCCGGCAGGAGCTGGCGAGCCTCCAGAAGGATCTCACCCTGGAGAGCCTCCAAAGGGACCGCGACGCGGGCGCCATCGACCTGTCGCGCAGGAACTCCGGCGAACGGCGAGCGTCGGACGACGCGAGGCCCGCGCGCGGGTTTCAAACGACGGCGGACGCTCGCAAAGCACCCGCACCGGGCGGCGCCACGGACAAGGACGACAAAGCGGCGGAGCGGAGCGATCCCACGCGGGCGCCGAGGTCGCCGAACGGCGGTGCCAAATGCCTCGACCTTCGTCTCAAGTGCGCGGCCGCGGCGAAGCCGTGGCGCGGTTTCGCCGGCTTGAACGGCGACGCGCAGGCACGCCCCGACGCGCCCTCGCGGCGCCACCCAGGCTCCGCGGCGGCGGCCAAGCCCGGCGTCATCGCCGTCCCGCCCGGCGACACAAGGAACCAGGAGCGAGCGGCGAGAGAGCACGGCGGGAAGAGGAGCACGGCGAGGGACTTTGACTGCGATGACGTGGCTCCGGGAAAACGGCGGCACCTGTCGCGCGATCACTCGAGCTACCCCTTTGTGTGATTCGGGACTTGAACGGTATTCAGGGCCATCTCTAGGGGGGAAGGGGGTGCGGGGCTCCGGACAAACCACACCCGCCGGCGCCTTCGAACATCTCGCGCCGTGGCGTCGAAGCGCGGGCACCCCCTGGGGGACGGCTCTGGCGGCATCTGCAGTCGTGGGACAGCTGCTGGCGTGCGGGTCGCAGCGTGCGTGCGCCTTTGTTGGACACGCATGCCTCAGGTTCCCCTTTGAGAAAGGGAAAGGTTTCCCGCCCCGTAGTCCCGGCACCACAAAAGCAAAGGGACGACCGTTATTATTTTTGAGCGCGCGTTTGTAAATTGTAATGAGAGCAAAACGCTGCAAATGTCATGGAAAAGTTACGGCAGAAACAGTTTTCGGCCACATAAAGATGCGATATTAAACACTGCAAAGTTACGGACGTTCAACATAGGCGGATTGGTTGTATTCCGTACACGTGTTTATGTATGTATGTATATTTCCACACGTTTTTATACGAATGAACGAAGTGGTTTATTGATGATAAGCTACAGCAGATTATTTGTAGGGCTCGGTAGTGCGACCACGCGAGATGACTCGTGAGTGGACATCAGTCACCCTCGCTCCTCCGTGGATCAATCGAATCGCGATATCAGCGGTGGTCAAACAACGACCATAACTGACACGGCGTGGAGAGGCCTTCATCCAGCAGTGGATTCGCAGAAGGCTCGACAGCCATTATATATATTTTTTTATCGATAAATTTACGCTCAACATGACATTCGTCCCAATCCACTGAACTTAACCCTGCAGGAAACAGGACAAACGATGGGGGGGGGGAAACCACGCCGGGAAGCGAGACAAAAACCAAAATCGTGGATTCCCGAATCGAATCGCGACCACGCACGCACCGCGATTGACGAATCGATCTGGCCACCAGGGACACGAGGGCTGTGAATCACGGTACGCTTACTGTCTACGCCCGACCCCCCGCAGGTTCAGAGACCCCAGCACATTGCGCGTTCGACGCAGGCCACAGCCATGCTGTGGTTTAGTTGTCACACTGCAAAGCCATCCGTTATGAGTCCACGCACCCATATCGAAGCTCAGGGTGGGTTCGTGATGATTACGAACAATCAGAAAGTTTATTCACGTGATAAGAATGTCCATTTGATCAAGAGCGACATGATTTTGTGGCTAAATTGTTACCGTGTTCTCCGGATTATAAAGTTTGAGGTGCGTATTATAACTCGGCAGGTGCGTGTGTGTGTGTGCAGAGGTTAGCGCTACGCTGTGCTTAGAACCTACCAACCCGAGTTCGACTTCCGCTCACGGCCTACGCCAGTGACGATTATCCGAACCAGTCCTGGGCCTCCCCAAGGTCGACTCAGATTAACATAATTAGTGCTTGGTATGGTGTGTAAGCATCGCCACTAGGGAGACAAAGGCGGCCGGGCGTGGTGCTGGCCACCCACTCCCTCGTGTGCCGTACCAGCCTTCATAGGTGCTTGCTAACAGCACTTGCCCATACAGTCTGTTAAGGCTACAAGGGGGATATTTGTCTTTGTCTGTGACTTTATTGATACTGGTCACAAGTCAGGATGTGTCTTGTTTTCCGCAGCCCTGTTATAACCCAGAGAATACGGTAATTACAATTATTGCTGATCACTTAATGACATGACAGGAATGGGTAGGTGGTATGTTTACACTCACTGTAAACCTAAGATTGCTGCATGTGTATGTTACGGTTAATAAATGCAAACGCAAGACATGTTTTAAAGCTAAATTATTTCCAAAATGAAGGTGGCGATACTGCAGGTATATAATTAAGCGTACGGACATCAGTAAAAATGTAAATGTACATAAAATAAATTATTTAAGTGCGTACACTGCTCTCAACAGCACTTTCCCAATCAAAAGTCACGCACGAGATATAAAACCTCGTACAATTCAGACAAATTACCAAAGGATTAAGCAACTGCCAGGCTTAGACAAGGGTGGTCCGTGGCCAATAATAAGAGGCGAGGCAAGGACGGTCCCCCAACCCTGGAAAAAAAGCCGGTTTATTATGTCGTACTGAAAGCTCCGCCGTGAACACGCCACACGGGACATCAACACTGCTCGGCAACCCCAGCCGGTTGGCCCGGGGCCGGGTTCACGTCAGCCTCATAAGCGACACTTTTTAAATTGCCCCCGAATGTGTTTTTTACGTAGAGCAAACAAAGCACACGTGATCGATCGTGACACATCTGTAAATACAGCCGAAAACGCATTCTCAACGCCTGTACGATGTTGATCATAATAACAATAATGCACTCGCTTGCAAGGAGCATCATCTAAATAAACACGTCGTCGTTGCGATGGTGAGAGGCCTCGTTCGTTGCGTCACATCAACGCAGAGCCGTCAAGTAAATCGGCGACCCACGATTGTTCCCGTGAACTTCGCTCATTGATCCCTCTACCCACGCAGAGGACCCGAGGCTACCAGACAGACACTGACAATTCCATCTCACCCATGCTGTGATCGCAAACCGCAGGGCACAACTCATTCGCTCACTCACCCACCCACCAACTCACCGACCACACTGCAGGGCACAACTCACTCACCCACTCACTCACCCACCACACTGCAGGGCACAACTCACTCACTCACCCACCCACTCACTCACCCACTCCCTCACCAACCACACTGCTGGGCACAACTCACTCACTCACCCACTCACTCACTCACCTACTCCCTCACCAACCACACTGCAGGTCACACCCCTCGCACTGCTCATCTTTGGAGTTCCCTACCAACGTCTCTATTCCCAAGCAATAGCAACCTTGCTCAATTCAAGAGACGTGTTTATAACTGTCATATGTTACCAACTTTGACCGTGCCGTTTGTCGCTGGCCGTTTGATGTCTTGGGTCTTTGGGCTCTGCGCTCAGCCATCGTATTAAAATAAAATCCCATATTATTGGATGTCGGATTTGTTTGGCGTTATTTGGGATGTAATTCCACACCGTCGGATTTAAATGTATTACATCACGATATAGTTAACTGTATGAGCACACCATCTGATTAACCTCAAAATCGCACGTAAACACACGCATGAATCAACAAAAACAATAAAAGCCTGTACGCATTCTTAATCAGATCATGTCTAAGCTATTTGTAGCTCCGGCCATAATTAAATCAGTTGCAGTCTAAGAAGTTAAGTTGTACACAATCCTGGGGGCATGTTCATGAAGCCAATTAAATAGGGTTCGCTCAGAATGAGCAGTCTCAACAACGGGGCTATTAACCGCAATCCCTCTGTGATCTCGGAAATGAGCATAAAGCACCGTCACGCAAACTCCGGCCATCCTCTCAGCAGCCAGATTGTGGCTGGCCATCGAGCAAAGACGGTCACCGCATTGCGGCGCTTTCACATGCGCTTCTGCGACCGTCTGGAAAGCTCTTCCTTCCGATATTAGGAAGCCACTGTAGCTATGCACTTTATATCCAGATTGACAAACTCATTTCTTTAGAACCGCTTTTTGTGTTTAGTTTGTTTTCCTTTCCCTGAACCTCCAGATAAGCATGGTTGGCTATGTACGGTGTGAAAGAAGTTCAACATACATACATATCGTGGGCAACCGAACATTTGGGAAGAAAGGTATGTTCCCTTCAGAAACAATGAGAGGCTAACCTTTCAAAACTCTTGCACGCATTTTATGTGGAAGGGCCTGATGCAAAATAGAAGCGCACTGGATAATCTCAGCAATTGCTGCATAATTTGAAATATCATCCCTCTTGAGAGGCCCGTATATTTATGAAATGTTTACTCTGGACAGATGCGTGCGTGGAATTGCACCGAGAGACAGAAAGGGGAACCCGTGGATCGGAGAACGTATGCAGGTTAGCGACACCGTTACCGCCTGACAAGAAAGGGAAGGAAGGAGTCTGAGAAAACGTGCAACCAAAGGGAGATGGAACCAGCAGATTCAGCTGGTGTGCAGGCACTACGTGGATTATTACATCGCAATATCGTGAGAGATGGTGATGGCTTGGGGATGATTTCATCCAGCAATATCTTCTGAGGCTGACCAATATCTCCTGAGGCATTGCACCGACAGCCAATGCCTGCTGTCTGGATGATCACGACGACGACAATGACATTGACAATGATGTGAACACGCGCGCTCGTGCGTGTGTGTGTGGCCGACGAGCTCTTACCGTCGGGGAGGCGCGAGGGCAGCAGGAGGCCTCGGCGGCCCAGCTCGGCCAGCGCCAGACACCCGCCGTGCCACGCCTTGTTCGTCTCGCCAACGCTGGCGGGGGTTAAACAGATCAAAAGGTCAGAGTCAAAATAGTTTCCGGGCTCAAAAGAGCATTGAGGCAGCGCTCATTTCCTCTTTACAGCCCTGAGCAGCCAGTGGTGGAAATTCCACACTCTGACAAGACAATCACTGTTGACTTCCACCACAATGTGATATTCATTTTTTATCGAACCCACAGGGATGATGGGCCCGAGTTAACCCCCAACCAGGATTTTAACTCGCAATCCTTCCCATTACGAGCCGCCCGCTCTCTCCCGCGAAGCGGCCTGGCAGGATGAAACCGATACATCGGTGGAGTTGTCTTTTACACCATGCAAGGGCTCGCTAGGACCATGAGCCTCTTTTGTAAGAGAGGCCTGCTAATTACAGTGCTCCCATTATCTATATAAGTCTATATACGTCATGCTATTGGATGACCACCACATTTAGCAAGAGACGCAAATAACTGTTGCATCGCTTAATGACAGGTCATATTCACGTACATAGACATGAGGTTATCAAGCCTATTCAGGAAATAAAAACATATTGTTAATTATTGTTACTATTATATTCTTAGCTCTTTCGGTAAAGTCACGTTGAAGGGAAAAAATAAAATAATAAAATATATTTTATATATTTTAGCTCTTTCGGTAAAGTCAAGTTGAAGGGAAACAATAAAATAATAAAATATTGAAGGGAAACAATAAAATATATTATATATATTTTATTGTTTCCCTTCAACGTGACTTTACCGAAAGAGCTAAGAATATGAATTACTGCAGTCACGAAAGCTTTAAATAAAAATTTATTGTTACTATTATTAGGGGTTCTATGCAAAATATCAGTACAGCACAGTGGCTTTAGCAGAACTTCCTGCATTGAAAACAAATCAGACTTTTAGATGATTAAGACAAATGCGTGTGATGAATGGGTATAGAGCACTTGTATCTACCAGGATGGTGATTGTGGTGATGATGGTGATGATGATGGTGATGATGATGGTGATGTGGTTTCATCATGATAGCAAGGATGAAGTTGATGGCAAAGCTGTTTGATGATGATGATGGAATCTCTCTAAGCCGGACTAAATTCGTGGGAGAGCCTTTTCCACCTATAGTGGACGTCTGGCATCCTGGAAATAAATTACCGATCGCACAATTCTCTCTGTGTGCCATGTCCAATCTCAAAGACGTCGGCCATCGAGGACATCCTTCCATTTAACTCTGCCCATGACATACTCCTCCGAGTTGAAATCCGATCGTTCAAATTGATTACGTATCTTAATTTGCTGTGTTCTCCAGCCTCTTGTGGCACACAGAATTCCCCGGTCAGATCCCATTCACATTCAGTCTCTTGTTTTCTCATTGCACGTCCAAGAAACCTAACTTGACGAATACATCATTCTGAATACATTATTATAAAACCAAATACGTGACTACTAAAACACTTAATTTACATGTACATGCAATTAATACTAAACTTTTAACTTACAAAAAATGCTCTCCGCCCCCCCCACGTCCTCCCGCATGCTGCCACCACAGTCGTCCATTCCCCAGCACCGTTTGCCATCGTCCTTACTCGAATCGTCACCATCATTCGCGAACGTTCTTCCAAGCCCCAGCCGTTTAGCTCCCGTCGAACGTGGTGCCGTTTGTCGCTGGCCGCTTGCCGTTGCGACACCCCCTCCCTCCCCCCCTTGGGGCGCCGTGCTCAGCAACCGTGATTTTAATAAAAATAAAACCACAACAAAAAAAATATCACAAAGGGGAACCTTTTCTAAGTGCGGCCAAACGGTTCCCCTGCCCGTCGGCCCTTGCCTGCCCCGTGCAGGTCCACTCCAAATGGGTCGCTTTATGCGCTAGTAAAAGCCATATTTTCCACGTGAATGAGCTGACCTTTCCGAAGCCGGTCGTCAATTACTGGAAATTTACGAGCCTATCGCCAAGATAAAGATCGGCGCAAATTACGTAAACCCTGCTTAATATACGAAGGTAGCCCTGCAACTGGCCGCACTGTACACGGGAGAGGTGGGGGAGTGACACAGTAGCCCGCAATGTGCTCTTGAACCAGGGACCAGAGTTTGATTCTTGGCCACGGTCAACATCAGTCTTCTTATAAGTATGGCTGATGTTGCCTGTTCTGGATGGTTACCAGAGTCGTCGCACGCTACAGGAGAGTTTTTAATTGTCTGTCTGTGCATCGAATGTCCGCATCTAACGTCAGTGGCAGGTAATGCCTGAAAATATTCTATGCCTCCCCGTGTCTTCACCAGCAATTGAGATAAAAATCCGGATTAGCTAATCATTATTTGTTTTGCACCGATTTTATTTGCTTCACTGCTCTACTTTCTTTTCATGGTATCGCTTTTGCCATTTTGGTGACTCGGGTGACACTTGAAAATGCGAGACAATATCCTGGTCTCTTCGAGTTCTTGCCTGGTTGAACAAAAGTTAATTTGAAAATCTCAGCAGGCTACTGCGTCATACAATCTGGTACGGGGGAGTGCGTGTGACCGGATTTTTGCTCGCCGATAGCATTTTCCCCCAAAAGGTCTCGGTACGGCTACACAAGGGGGAACTTTATCTTTGTTTGTTGACCAACTTTGTTTGTAACTTTATTGACGCCGGGCACAAGTTTGGGGGTGCTGCGTACTTTCCGGAGCGTCTTTTCATCCAGAGATTATGGTACGATGATGAAGCCCTCCACCAAAGCATTGGCGCCTTTTGTGAATCTATTCATGGTTTCGTACAAACTTTTTTTTTTACCTTACCTGCAGCTATGATCATTTGGAACGAAGGAGCAAGAGTCAATAATTGCCCAGGGTATGTAACAACTCGAGCCTCGGCATGTCAAAATGTAGCCCGCGTGGATTAGCGTCGCAAATATGAATATAATCAGAATAGAGGATAATTTAATCCATCTGGCACGGCGTTAAAACACACATTGCATTCACCATCAGGAATGCACATCCCACGCCGCAACTCAAAATATCCACGCTACTTAAAACGGGCACACACCCAGAGGGGGCAGCACTTCAATTGCCACTCGCGGAAATGTGTGAAAGCTCCGATGCGCGATATTTCAAATCAAATCAAACTTTAATTATATAGCACAATTCGTGCAAAGAATGCAATGCCAAGTGCTTTACAGGACTAAATGAAGCGACTAACGCAATAAGAATTATACAACCCTTAAAAAATGACATCACATTATAGTGAGCTAAAAATATAATAAAAACACAATAAAAGCAACTCAATTAAAAGCCAATCTAAAAAAGTATCTTTTAAGATTACTCTTCCACATGCGCGCACGCTTCGTCCCACCACACTTGACGCACAGATCGACTGAACCACGGTGCTCCCACATACACCTGCTGGGTGAACAGACGCGGACGGCTTTTATAAACGTGCACCACTGTTTTAACGTCTGCACCAGGAGATGGAATCTCTGGGTTTGCGAGTCCGGTGTGCGAACCGGTGCACAGCAGAATTCCCGACATAAACTGGATTGGATTTTTTTTTTAATCTGCATTGTTCTGTACCGTCGTCAAAATCACCGAACGCATTGGGTGTGTCCCAACAGGGCGAGCACGAGACGTGGGAGGGGAAAGAAAACACATCGCAGTTTTCTCCCCGAGGGGCTGCGCACATTACACACCGACCTAGATGCAGGTAAGTTACGGCCCTCGTTCCAAGTTTTACGAGAGCGGATCAAAAGCTTTGCACCGAGCAAGGCAGATAAGACGCAAGCCGCCCCGGGGCTAGTTTCTCCTCCGCGGACCGCCGCCAGGGACCATCACCGGCAAACCCCCGTGCCGTGGCCGAGAGCGAGCCGCGAGCGTGTTCGTCGTAGAAAATGGGCAGCCGCGGCGCAGAGGTTAACGCACTGCGCTACAAAACTCCGGGAGACCCAAGTTCAATTTCTGCTCACGACCAACAACAGTGACAGCGAATATTTGAACTGGTCGAGGGCTCCCCTAGGTCAGAGCAGCCTTAAATGAGTACCTAGTGCGGTTGGGCACAGTGTTGACCACCCACCCTCTTTTGTGCCGTGTCGGCCATCACAGGTGCTCGCAAATAGCACTTGCCCCGAAAGTAAATTAAAGGCTATACGGGAGATATTTGTTTCGTCTTTGCCATGAAAACATCTCATTTAGAGCTGGGTTCTTCAATTATTTGATTATTCATCTACTCAGATAACATGAACGTATTTGGGGTGGGAAAAAAAAATCTCACTTCTGTTCCCATCAGACATCACTGGAAGGGAGGAGATGGGCGCTGCAATGACATCGTCATTATCGGCCGCGTCACGCTGGGCGTGGCTTGTAGGGGTTTCCCACCTTCAGAAGGAAGGGATGGCAAGGCAGTAGGCAAATTTTCAAGGGGCCCAAGTAATCGATCGAAAATAAATAAGTCGATTGCCATTTTTTATTCGAATGATCAACTTAATCGTCGCAATTCTAATCTCAATAGACCAGACACAGGGAAGGGTTGTACTCCACGAGTCAAGGGGTGGAAATAGTTTCAGGAGCTGAGTCCCTGACAGTCCCGGCTGAAATTAAGCCCTCCTTATCATGCCAGTCACAAATGTAGCTGGCATGTGTCATGTTTGTGATACGTCTAGGAGATGGCTGTTGTCTTGTAAAGAGAGACCTGGGTGGTGTAGTACCTGGATTGTGTAGTACCTGGATTGTGTAGTACCTGGATTGTGTAGTACCTGGATTGTGTAGTACCTGGATTGTGTAGTACCTGGATTGTGTCGTACCTGGATTGTGCAATACCTAGATTGTGTAACATGACGCCACTGCAGCCATGTCACTACGGCACACATGAAGGTGGAGAGTTGGACATCCTGGGAGAGTGCAGCCCGCGTGTGGATCCACAAGGGACCTCTGTGTTCCGAGTCCCCGGCTTGTTTGTTCACGATGCAATAACTATCGGCACTGGCAATAAGAAATCAAGGGGGGTACGCCGGGATCCGCCGTGGTGGGGGACGACCGACGACATGGGAAAAAAGTTAACTCCGGAGCGGAATTCGAGAGGAGGCAAAGGAAAACAGCGGAAGAGAGCAGAAGAGAGGACAGCAGCGAGATGACGTCACAGAGTTCGGAGGTCACTGCCGGACAGGAACCACTTAGGAATGGTGGTGGCCTTCTTCCGGCAGTGGGAAGCTAGTGGGCTCACAACGACAACAACAACGATTGGCATTCTTGGAGCACACTCCGAACAGTATGCAATGCATCTGTAGAAGCAAGTGAGTTGCAACAAAGTATTATTTTTAAATTAAAAACGTGATTTTTCACGTTAATATCTGAATGAGGGCTAAATATTAGAGGGTGTCATAGTGCTAAGTAAGAGGTAATGTTTCATGTGCAGGCATCGAAATTGTAATTAATTCCTCCGGACGCAAACAGCCGCATCGTAAAAAAAAAGTTCCATTAAGTTGCTTCTCCAGTCTGCAGCAGGAGTGCTTTTAAATTCCTGCGTGGGCTGACTGCACTTTACCATTTTGGGACCAAGAAAACATCAACGCAGAAAAACGGCCACGAGCATTCTACGCAGCAATTAAGATACGAATCTGCTGCCCCGCCACAGAGTTTTCCAGCTGCACGAGGAAGGGTGACACATTGGAGAAGACTAAATACAGTACAATAACAAACTAATCAGCTGACACACTGGAAACATCACGGGTGGAAACGAAGACATCCGAGGGCCATATGGAAAGACCAGGACCAGGTGGATCGACCAAGCAGACAGAGTCTTGGCACAATGGGATCTAACCATCACGCATGTGGACATCACGAGCGGAAACGCATAATTCCAGCCGATGAAGAGGAAAATGAATACGAGTGTGCGGAACCTTTTGTCAGTCCACTGCTGGAAGGTCTTCCCACGTCACGTCAGGGTCGTGGGGATTGGTTTGACCATACTTCGCCACGTTGGTCAGTGCAGGCTGCCGAAGTGCAGGAGACGTAGGCATGGCGGGCATGCAGAACGGGTTCAGGGAATCGCTCGCCACTGATGTTAGCCGTGTCTGGGAATTGAACCGAGGGCCCTGGGATCATAGTGCAGAGCTCTACCCCACTGTGTGCGTTCCATGCGATAGCGTGACTTTACCGAAAGAACCTTTACCGAAAGAACCAAAGAAGATGAATGCAGGTTCCTATGAAAGTTTATATTTATTTACATTCAACTTGAACCCCGAATCATTTGAGTTGCAAATTGAACAAATAACTTCCCCGGCATGTTACTACATATCCTTATTGCGTCAATGTCAAATAAATAGCGTGCATGGGTTATTCAAAATGCAGGTATAAGTACATAAGTAATATATTTAAACACCTCTTAAGCTCGATTGTGAAATCGCAGATCGTATAAGTTACAGCATCGCAAGTGGTATAAACATTACAACATTTTCATGGATGGAGGAATCTTCCATTCAAGTAAAAATTCTGCTCTTTCTTGACATTTATTTTGTTTGTACAAGGCAGAGCCCCACACCATCGTTCCATTTTCATAATGTTCAAACGAACGGGGCATCAAAATGGCCCACTGCAAAATGACGAGGAGCTCAAGAGAGTGCACGGTAGAACAAGAACAAAACGCCACCGCGGCGGAAGCATCTGGTGAACGCTACAAGCGAGTCACACGCAACTCACGAGGTTCGCAATGAGCACTGTGATTAATGTAAATAGCCTGCTTTAGGCTAAATAACCCCCCCCCCCACTCCCCCCGTAGAATTTGGGTGGTCCTGATTCTGGTCATGTGAACGCAGAAATCCATTCTTGGGGTCGTTGCCGCCCGTAAGAGTCATCTCGTCTTGCAGGGTCGGTCAACGGGAAAGCACAAATAAGGATGGCTCTGTCAATCGTGCTACGGTAGCTAGGAGATGTTAACTACCTCGCCCGGTATACAGAAGGTCGTGGGTTCGATGCCGACCCTGGCGATGCCTTTATATTTGGAGTGTGCATGTTCTCCCCATGGTGGTCGTGTGGATTTTTCTCCGGGTCCTCCGGTTTTTCTCTCCACATTTAGAATCAACATCACCACGCGTTGAGAGTATTTGGCTGCTAAAAATTAGCACGCGACATTTGTGAAAAAGAGCAATATAGCTCAGTGGACCTTACCTGGTAAAATGAAAATAGCACAGTTATATACAGTAATGTGCAAAGGCACTCTACCCACCTGCTCAGGCTCAACCAAAATTCTCGCATTGCAATGAAGGTGGTGCCGTCTTTAAAATGAGAGGCTCAATAAAAGTCCTGTTTAGTGTGCGGCACTCTCTGATAACGTACATGAATGTTGTTTAACCCAATACACTTCATCAACATCATAAGCCACGGTCAATCCGTCTGACCTCCGTGACGCTCATTAAGCACAACACTCTCCTTGCCGCTCATGTAATGCCCATGGACATCACGGCTCATCTTTCAGCTAACCCCCCCATAAATCCCATTTTCACCCATTCACTCCACATACGAAAATCGCATCTTCTCCTGGCCACGACTACCTCGGACCAGCACAGACCAGTGGCACCGTGGCCAGTTCTGGCTGGCCAGCTCTGCACCACGACCAACCCGGACTCCCAGGGCACGAACATGTGACTGCTGTTTCCCCCTATCCCCCTCCCGCTCCCCAGCCTGTTACGCTAACGACCGTGCGCCAACATATGAACGGGCGTGCGGCTGCCAAGACCGTGTGTTAGGAGCGCGTAGGATATAATCCAGGCTTCACAGCCCCCACAACGAATTATTCATTAACCTCTATACGGTCACGTCGATGGGGCAGCAGGCTGCTGGGCTTGCGGTCAGAAAGTCACCGGGTCGAACCGACCTCCTGGCACGACAGCCGAAACAACGATGCAAGTTTCTTAAATTCCCCTCTTCCCCCGCCCCGGCCTCTGTCCACCCAGCAGCGTAAGTGGACTCACCACGGTCAGTCGATGGCCAGGTAAAGTGTGGGTAACTCTCACCTCTTCTGAGACTTCAGGCCAATGTGGAAGAGTAGGCCAAAATAACCTCTAGATGGGCTCTATAGAGTTTGCTCCAGAGGAAGCCCTTCCGCAAGCAGTGGCGTGAGTGAGCTGCTGCAGGGCTGCACCACTTTACAAACAGAATGCGGTAAAAAAATCATGAGTATGGTACGCAATGTACATTGATACTCGGGATGAGTTTCGGATGTCAACATTTTGTATCTTTTCATGATAAAGGTTTTTGGGTTAGATCGCGTTATTTATAAATGTGTCGTAACCCTCCACCACCCGACACGGCCAATCAGCAAAAAAAGTGTCACGTTGACAAAAGACAAATAGTTCACTACTTTAGCCCACCGGTGTGTTGAAGAGTGAATCCACAACATTTACTATTCAACACACCGGTGGGCTAAAGTAGTGAACTATTTGTCTTTTGTCAGCGTGGCACTTTTTTTGCTGATTGGCCGTGTCGGGTGGTGGAGGGTTACGACACATTTATAAATAACGCGATCGAACCCAAAAACCTTTTGTATCTCTTTCAGACTTTCTGATCGCTTCCATTACTTACAAATTTCATATCTTCGTGCCAACGATGGCATCACCCGATGTCACGCAGCATTAATTTTGTTGGCAAAGGCGCGTAAGTGACATCACGAAAGTGACGTCACGTCCTTTGATGTCAGGTTATCGCTCTAGGGTTTGGTGTTACATGTTATTTATGTAGTTTATTGTTAAAAATTCGGTCACAGTCCCTATGATCACTGTTACATTGCATTTATGGCTGTATTTTGGTGATTTCGAAAAGTTTTTTGGTTTGGCCATGTTTGTTTGTTGTAGTACGGAGTTAGACTGATGGCCTTAATCTAAGTTTTCTTGTGGTTGTTGTTGTTGTTTGACTTGCATCCCACTGGGATATTTGCACACAGAGTTGGTGTACGGTGCTTTTTCAGGAATATTTTGCTGTTTTTTTCCTGGATTTCCTGTTTGCACCGTCACATAGTCACTTTAAGATGTTTTCTTGTTCATGTTTTTGTTTTTTGTTTGTTGCGGTTGCACCAGATTCAAGAGCCGAGTGGCTCACAGGGCTATACCAAATAAATGAAATGAAATGTAATCGGATCAAGCCCAAGCAAATGCTTTTGTCGGATCGTCCAAAATGTCGTACATCTAGGCACGAGTTGGCGACTTTTTTCTTGGACTAATCCAAAACTCGGGAACACATCGCTAATAAATGCGTGTGCTTGTGAGCATCACAGCATGCAGCATAATACGTTCCGCTTTCTAATGTCAACAAATTGGAAACATCAGTGTGCATGGCTTATGATGAATTTAGACACTGATTTGTCAACAGCAGTTTGCTTATTGCACAAACATAGCTGACCGAGGCCCAGAGGTGACAAAGCACAATCCTGCTTGGTCCCCTTTCCCATGAATACATCATCATCAAAACAATAATATTAATTGACAGAAGTTTGTCAATACACTACTCGACTTCGGCCTTCCCCCCATGGTGTGTCAGCTGTGGGAGGGTTGTTTGACCATACTTGACCACGCTGGACCAGTGCCAGCTGGTGAAAGAAAGGGGACATAGGGCCGGCTCAGATTTCACGAGCCACTGATGTCAGCCGTGGCTGGGAATTGAACGCAAGTAGCCAGGTAGCATGGCGAGCTAATCACGGAGCCACCGCTGTTCCCCATGAACACAGTCACCACCAACCACCATGTTCTAAAGAGAGGTGGAATACCCCGAAAAGCCACACCCAACACAATGCAAAAATAATTATAAAGATGACGTCGCCAAGCTCCGCCTAACACCTCCCCCGTCCAGCAGCACGCGTGGGTACGGAGTAGGGGGACTTTTTTTCATCAACCATTTTCGTGTTACCCCGTTTAGTGGAGTTATGGAACCAGTACAGCAATGGATCGCTTCAGTAATCTGAGAGTCCGACCCTGCACACGTGCAGCAAGCATTGTGCACAACAACATCGGTGAGCAGGCTCCGCAGCGGTACCTGAGACACTCCAGTATGGACGCCACGACGTCATCAGCCAGGTCCTTCTGTAGCCTCCCCGTCACGCGTCCAATCCTGCCACAAGCAACAACAAAAAACGTTTTCCACCAACACATCCGAGCCGAGCCAGACCAGGGCCCTCACATTACTATGGGTTGTTTTTTTTCACTGGCAATTTGCCACGCAGAGCCGGAACCACACCGTGATACGCTGGCCACATATGAATCTAGCTCGGGGCCAAGCAGGGCCAGGTGTATGGAGAACAAACCATTTGTTGCGCGTGACGTCAGTGCACTCCAGACTGAGCATCTGTGAAAGAGCTTTATAGCTCATCGGATTCCTCCAGTGTAAATAAATATTTAGATTCTGACCATGAGGGCACGGCTCCTCCGCGTCATCTAAATGTGTCTCAACACTTTCGGCACGGCCTCAGCATAGTAGCTCATGGGCCAGATTGAAAGCTGGTACCACCGTGGGTAGCAAAACTTTAGCCGTACTAATTCACTTTTATGGATAATATGAGTGAATTACTTGATAACCCCCACTCATCTAAAATTGTTATCACATAATTCACGACTATTGGCCACTTAAAGAGATTTGAACGAACAACATAATGCTGTCACATCGAGTTGAGTAAGCGCGACATCCCGTGGGAAAGTTTGATTGTTTCTCAAGCTGTAGAGGTGCATTGGGGGGGGGTACGTGATCAAAACTCACCCTTTGGCAGCCGACCACCTGACAACAGTGTCCTTGTCTTTCAAGCCAAACAGCAGATGCTCTGCAAACGCAAAGCACACGCCGGAGAGGAGTGCGATTATTTAACCGACGTGTAAATTCACATTTCTAACACGAAGCAGGCTTTTCGCGATCGACGTTATGATGGCGTAATTGGGTTTTTGGGTTGGATCGCGAAACTAAAATGTTGTGTCGTGAACCCTCCACCACCCGACGCAGCCAAAATAGTCGAGTTGCCACACGACGAACAAACACGGCCAGTTGATCACTGCTTCAACAGCACCGCATTTAACAACTGCGTACGAGACGTCTCGCTGGTAGTTAACACCGCCAGCGTCATCACGCGGTTGCCAAAAATCTGAAAATGTCCTGGAGTCGTGCTATGACGCCAAGCAAACGGCGCCCCACCAGATGGATTCCGGCAAACATTGGCGAGTGACACAGAGCCCAGCACAAGCATGTGTTTTTTTCTTTCCCAACCAGATGAGGATATCTTCATAACGCCACTGGTCACGTCACCCAAAGCATTCGCAAATGTCACTGGAAATGTAACGTGTCTTAGGGCTGTCAAGTTAGTTTACATTCCGGGGAAATCAAAACGATTGTGCTCCACGTGAAGAGAAAAGGCCAAGTCCATTACAGGCAATTACATTGCGATGGGGGGCAATCACTGAAGTGAAATGGCAGCTCTGACTGTGGCGGCAGAAGAAAAAAAACGCCGGCTCATCGAAAACCGCCGCTTGCGTGAGCGCGCCAACACCGTCGCGGCGCCGTAGCGGCGCCGTAGCGGCGCCGTAGCGGCGCCGTAGCGGCGCCGTCGCAAGACCGTCGCGGCGCCGTAGCGGCGCCGTAGCGGCACCGTAGCGGCGCCGTAGCGGCGCCGTAGCGGCGCCGTAGTGGCACCGCAAGTGAACCACGCGAGCGTCTCCGCCGGGCCGCGGCGAGCCGACGCGTGTTCCTGCCGAGGCTTGGCCAACGCCTCGCGTGGCGCTCCTCTGGAGGGCTTCGTGGTGGCGCCTTACACGGCTCTGCAGCGCGTGCGACATGTGCTCCGGTTGGAGTAGCTGCGTTGTCCGGCCATCTCGCTCCGTGGCGTCCGACGTTTCGCCGCACGTGCTGTAAACTTCTTCAGTTTCCCGAAGAAGCTCCCGACAAGTGCGGCGAACCGTTGCTATTGTATTGACATTATAATTATATTACTGTTGTTATATTGCTTGTCTCGTGACTCTTTTTCAAGAGGGTCCTGCCAAGTTTTCGTAGTTATAGGGTGATGATCGGTTTGTACAATCCCAATTGAGAAATTTCCAGTTTAATATTTTTAATTTGGAAAATACCACACTGAGAACCTGACTTTGATTCCTGGCCATGGATATTTGAATCTATCTACACCCACCCACACTGACCGGTATGGTGAAGTACATTTCAACCACCCCTATCATCGACATGTAGGCCTTCATCCAGAATCGGACTGATAAAAAAAGTAAAGTGTGACATCTTGCTCAATGAGTGTTGAGCCCCGAGCCGGTGGAGGGGAACTCCACATTCCCATGTCAGGGATGAGTCTACCTGCAGGATAACCACTGATGAATTACATACAGAGTGCTATTAATTTTTACCAACCATGGAGGGACAATGGACTGAGTCACTCCCAACCGAAATTTGAACTCACAACCTTCCCGTTGCTAGCGTCTCGGTGTACCGCTGAGCCACCTGGCCGGGTGACGGCTGTACACAACACCACACGTATACTCCACTGCGACTGGGCGAAGCACAAACGTTACCGGGAGGCCGCAGGATAACAAGAGCTCGATTGGGGGGGAACGTGGAGCGGAGGAGTAGTGAGCGCGCCCGGTGAGCAGGCACGAGAGTGCACGTGCGTGCAAAGTGATCGGTTGTTGTGGCGAGCGATGCATTTAGAATTAGCTCGCAGGTTACCGAAGGTGAACGTAGGATTGTGCGCTGACTTGACAATCAACGCGGTCAGATTATCGGCAAAGGTCACAAAATAAACCAAGCCACCAGACGAGAGGCAAGCGCCATCGTCGGCACTAAAACTCTGACGGAGATCTGATGATGGGGGGAATCGACCAAATTGGAAGTATTCCGGTAAAGGTTGCCGACAGACATTTCGCTTATTTGATATTTAAACAACTTTCAGTGGCAAAAGACGTGTGGACTACTTACTGTCAAAATGACAATCTCTGCTGTCTCTCACTTAAGATGACATCAAAGCAACACACCTTTTCACAAGCCGAAGTTCTTGATGCCTATTAGCTGTAGGCAGATAGTTTACAAAAAAGCCTCTGCAATTCTAGTTTGGCGGTGCAGATTGTTTAACTAGTTAGGCGGTGCAGATTGTTTAAAATACGGAGATGTTTTCGGGGAGGTAATATTGTCTCGCTGAAGCCGAATGGGTTTTTGAATGTGTGAAAGGTGCAACAATCCTATCGGCTAGTGCTATTATTATTATTTTAACGAGTGCGGGCGCAATTCACGGCCAACTTATAGAGAGGGCCGACGCTTTGCTGCCGTTCACAAAACAGCAACAGGTCATGGGTGCGGTGGGGACCAAGTGAAAACCTTTACTGCGCGTCGCTGAAATCTCCACAAAGGCCCTGCTGGGGGGCCAACGTGTCAATGAGCAGAACACAGAACTGGAAACAAATGGGATTAGACATGGCCTGCAGACAGGGATGGATGTGAATCTTCTGGAGGCGCATCACCGTCTACCTGCACATTCCAATTGAAACTTGCAGGCGAGTATTTTCAAGGCCACGGCTCGGAATTTCCCGCCAATTTTAGGCCGTGTAGCCTGCGGCGCAACTGGTTTCTCGCAAGCGGCCTGCTGCAAGGCTTTGTTCACAATTGGCCATGAGCGGAAGACGCAGCAGCAGCAGGGTTTCCCATTGACCCTCGCTGCTGTGTGGACGGGGGGACGCGTGAATGCAGATACGGTCTCCCATGGGAGCGGTCGTGTGGCTCCCACACTCGTGGATGTCCCTCGCATGGCCACCTTCAAAGCTCGTACACGAGACCTTCACGGTTTTCACGAAGAGCGGCGGCGAATTCACTTCACGCAATTTTAACGTGCCTTCCACAAACAAATATCCGTGCGGGACGGACATGTACAAAGGCTCAACATCCGCTTTTGGAGCTAAAGCGCGCGTCGCCCCACACTACGCCCAAAGCGTTTCGCGGTCCAGGTGCGCGGGGCGAAACGTCGGACATCGCGCCGCAAACACGGCGAAAAGAGAGCAAGGCAGCGCTGACCGCGACAAACCCCACGAGTTGTTTGATGTCAGTGCCGTGTGAAAATTCCTCGGGAAGAAAAATCACGGCAAAAGCGACGATGTGCCCTTCTGAGTCATCAGTGCAATGAATTTGGAGCAGAAAACAACAAAAAGAAGCCGCCCACACTGACGCAGAGACAAAGCTCTCGGCTAACACTGGAGCCTCGAGCGCAGTCAGTCGTGAAGTCATAATCCGCTTTTAATTCGACGAACGTCGACGCGCTGCTCCCGATGCTGCTGCGAGCAAGTGGCAGCCGTCACCCTCGCGGCCGCACAGCGCCACCGCACGGGGCACGAACGCCGCGGTGGACGTGCGTATTTCGGGACGCAGTGACCGCCCCGACCGGTTTCCCGGGCCGGGCTGGCAGGCTCGCGTGACCAACTCGTGGCCCCGGGACACGTCAAGGCCATGTGAATGACGGTCCCGGGCCCGTCACTCGGGGCGCCCCCACCCGCCCGACCTCCCCCGCCACGCTGACAGCCATTAGTGGCAAGCAAGTGTCCGTCAGAGGGGCAATCGAGCGCTCTGCCCCGGGGCGTCGGGGACCTCAAGAGGCCACTGCACTCGGGCGCCGCCACCGCGAGGAAACGCCTTGTCAGCCGCTCCGTCTCGCGTCGCCGCCGGACAAACGGAGACATTCCGAGTCGCTTGCCAAAAGGGGAGAATTATTTGTGAGCGTCTCAGATGGGGCGGTCCCCCCCCCCCCCCCCCCCCCCTCGACTGCCGGCCGTGTAAAACATTTTTTTTTACAAAATAACAAATGGGCATGTTTGTTAGGTGGGCATGGTGGCGTTGTAAGTCACCATGGTAATTGAAAAAAAATAGACGAAAAAAACACTTTCTGACTAATGTTGAAAGTGTTAAAAGCATTAGCTTTGACCTTTCGTATAAGTTGTGCTGCAATTAGGGACCACAATCAGAAAGCAACACGGACATATTTAGCAAAGAGTTTCCCAAAACTTGAAAGATTAAAACCAGCGGTAAAAGGATGAGTTTTTGTATCTGCACCCTGCCAACGCCACCCATCCCCAATGATGTCACGACACCCGACATCATCTCGCGGCTTCACGTGCTGTGCATCGCGGATTGAGCCGAGTTCTCGTTAACAACTCTGATGAATCTGGACGTCATCGCCAGCGAAACGCCGGATAAAAATTGTCAAAATTTAGCTTGCATTTTCTTAAGACTTGGATGAAGACAGTTTAGGTGACTCCCGACATGCACGGCACGCGCAGTTCGCTCTCGTACCGATGATCCCCTCCATCTCTTCCGGAATGTCGTCATCCTCATCGTCGTCGTCGTCATTGGCTCGGGGTGCCGCGGAGGCCTGCGATGAGACGATGAGGGGGCTTTGCTGCTGCTGCTGCTGCTGCCCTGGCGCCTGCAGGTTGTCCAACAGCGAGCGGCTGCCGCGCTGGTACCTGCGTCGCGAGCGCCGCCGTAACGCGTCCGCCGATGTTAGTACGGTCAGCATCGTTTTGGTTTAGTTGCCGTCTCAGTGTGATCGACCACAACGTTGCAGAGTACGAGCCTAATCCTAGTCTGTGGGTTTCGTTCTGCCGTTATCAGGTCAGCCATAAATATTTTGGCCATAAGTGTACAACCAATCACCGTTTTTGGTCTTCCCCGGTGCGCTGTAGTCTCTAGTGACATCACTAAACCAATAAGCATCCAAACACGCCAATGTCGCATGGATCTTAGTGGGTCACGCTTTGGTCTTTGGCATTAAAAGTTACGCTTGATGATTTCTATGAAAATAAACTGGACTAATATAAGGTATACTTATGTCCATCTCCCTCCCTATGTGTATCATAAGAATTTATCATAATAATTCTTTATTTCACCTGGAAAGCCACATAGAGTCGTAGGACTCTCTTTCAGGAGGGTCCTGCTACACTGGGTTTTTATTTTGAGATATTTTTATTTGAAGATCATCTCACCCAATTTATGAGTTGTTTATGAACGTGGGAGGAAAACGGAGCACCCAGAGAATACTCACGTGTGCGAGGGGGGAGCAACACTATATCTCCGTACAGACAGAAAAAGATGGAGATTAATCCACACTGTGCTGTGCAAATTTCTCCTGGTGAGGCAGGGTATGGCACCTCGACACTCATGGAAAAGGATTTTCACAACTTTTGTGCGATCCACCAACCCCCAGCTCCTGAGTCCTGGATTATAGGTGTCCGTAGCCACCACCGCCCTGCTATATATAGTGTGTGTGTGTCCATGTGTATTCGCCGACTGACATTTGAAACAAGAATCTCGGTGCTGGCTGCTCTGTTTCAATGCGGTGAGGCTACTTATAAAGCCTCAACCACCCAGCCGGCGCTTTGCGATCATCAGGTATCAGGGCTCATGTTTAAAAGTTCCAAGGTTGGTAACATTGGGCGAATGTGTGGGGAGCGGTGGCGCAGTGGATAGCACACTGCGCTATGAAGCCGGCGACCCGAGTTCGATTTCCGCTCACGGCCAACGGTGACAATGATCTGAACCGGTCTTGGGCCTCCCCTAGGTTGACTAAGCCTCAAATGAGTACCCAATGCCGCTCACGGCCAACGGTGACAATGATCTGAACCGGTCTTGGGCCTCCCCTAGGTTGACTAAGCCTCAAATGAGTACCCAATGCGATGTGTAAACAACGCCACTGGGGAGACCAAAGGCGACCGGACGTGGTGTTGGCCACCCAACCCCTCCTGTGCCGTCGCGGCCTTCACAGGTGCTCGGTAACAGCACTTGCCCCAACCGTCTGTTCAGGCTACACTGGGGATCTTTGTCTTCGTGCGAGCGCTCACCGCCACGCGGCCAGCTTGGGCTTGAGGAAGGTGAGGCCTATGCGCTGCACCAGCTTGATGGAGAGCTTGCGCAGGTTCGTGTTGCTCGCCTCCAGCAGTCTGCACTTCACCACGCACTGCAGCACCACCGACGCTAAGGGGAGAAAGCAATGGTCGCGCGGTTGTAAGTGAAGCGGTGGCTGCTGCGGTGGCGTTGATAAAGCCGTGTAGCCCACGGCCCTGCTCACCCGTTATGATTGAATAATAATTGACGCCGTGTCCATTGCAGGAATTGTTATCAGACCATACTTCGCCATGGTCGTCATTGCGGGTTGGGGGGGGGAGGGGATGGTTGCATCATGAGTGGCCCCATTATGCACCTCAGATTTGCATGGCTGACTATGTATGGTGCGAATTAAGTTCAACATACACACGTCATGCAGAATGAAGACTTTCCTCGGCTGTGGAAGCAAAAGGAGGTATAAAGGTGTCCTCAACAACTCGTTTTGATATTATTTTTATCTTGTGCTCACCGTGCGGTAGAAAATCGTCTCTCTTTCCATGCTTGAACATCTGGGCCTGAAAAAAAAACGCAGGATGTCTCAAAATATATCGCGCAAGGTGGCCACGGGAAGCAGAGCACCCCGCCATAAACATGAACCATACCGCCAACAGACTTTCATGCGGGAGGTGGTTCAGAGGTCAAAGTCAGCACCGGCTGAGATCCTGGGTTTAAATCTGGGCAGACACCCATGATTAAAAAATGGAATCTCACGAACAGTGAATTGATGGTCTTAGTGCAGTTACCAATGATTGAACGCAAAAAAAAACCCATCACATTAAATTTGTTTTTTGAAGTTGTATTTGGCCGAATCTGGAAATTTTAAATCTGGGAATTTAAAAATAATATCAGTTTGACCGCCACGTGACAATCACATGGCAGGGCTTGTGGTGAAGTATGTGTCCCCCAAGGTCACTTGAAGATTGTTTTAAAAGTCCTGGTTTTTGACACGTGGGACGGCACTGCTCATGACAACGAGAGCACATTTGCCATACATTGGAAGAAAATACAGAACATAAGAAGGCTATAGAACAAAAATAATTAAAAACATCTGTAGAGTTTATGGCATAAATAACACCAGAATCGAAATGTGCGAATTTCAGAAGCGCCCTTCAGGTTCAATCACTCATAAGTGATTCCGTGCAAACCTAGTGATACTACTTTTTAAGGTAAAATAATAATTGAAGACGAGGTGACATCTAAGTTTTGTCAGACATGTTCAGGCTGACTGACAAATTTCATAATGCGGGCAGAAAAAAAATTGTCAATCAAAAGAGAGCGCTCACAATGCACAAGTCGCCGTGGATTGTTCAGAGTGACCAATTACGAGATGACGCGCCACGTTCGTGTTATAATCTCATTTCCAAGCTGTCACACGCTGACAGAGACTTCACATGAGTGGCGACACGGCCCGGCGAGGAGCGCGCTCGCCGCTTGTCGCAAAGGTTCACGGATCGAAACTCGTGTCCACCCTGGTTAATACTGTGGGCGTATTAACCGTCAATACGCGCCCCGCGTGAGAGAAACATTAATCATTTTTCGAACTTTCGGAGACAGATCCATTAATCAACCCGACCGTCTCCTGAGACAACCTAACTCCCTCCCATTGGGGGAAAGTACCACTCTCGTCTGTGACTCGCAAACACAAAGCAGACTCTTAAGTCTTTCCCGCTGGGAGACTGGCCATGGGATGATGGCTCGCAGCATGGGTCACATGACCCGGCCACCAGCGAGACGCAGCAACGGGTTCCTGAAAAAGGCAATGGCCTCGTTGCTCTCTTTGCTAGATCAATTATAACCTTCTCACGGACGGGTGTCCTTTCGAACAATTCTAATGGGTGCTGAATTGTCCTAGCTGGTGAACCCGTCCCATGTCATCATGGACACACGCAGAGTTGCTGCCAAACCACAACTCATCATTAGCAGGAATCAATAATATTCACTCTGGCTGAACTTCAAATAATGAAAAAAAAACATTAAAATGAGAAATGTTCTTCCTCTGATAAAAAAGCCACCAAAAATCAAAATAACTCATGCGAACGAGGGGGCTTTTCATCCAAAATGATAGATGTGTGATGTGAAGTTTTAAATAGTCTTACGTTTAAATGGCAAATCGATTCATCATTGCTCGCCGATCCCTGGATTGTCAAATTGGGGACTTCTTTGTAGCGAGTGATTAATAGCGCCCGTGACACATTTACAGCTGTGAAGATTGCACATGGAGGAGAATGCGGGTAGAGGTGGAGGGTTTGGTGCGATGGGTGTGTATGTCATCTCGCTGGAGGTGAGGGCAAAGTCCTGCTGACATCGCTGCTGCGTCAATATCACAGCCCCCAGGGAGCGCACAACCAAGAGGAACCCGTCCAAAAAAATAAAATAGCAACCCACAAAATGATAAATTTCCACGTCATTTCAAAGTCTTTCTAGCATTCATCTGCAGCCCTAATTCACCTTTCCCCCAGCCTCCCTGAGATATGCGAACGGCCTACGTGATGCCTGCGAGTCACGATGGTAAGCAAGTATGTCATGACCCACCTCCCCATCCATCCACGGATCGATTGTCACGATTCTCGGTCACGAACCTGGTTCAAGAATCGATGCTTTTAGGCCTCGTTTGCGCCATGCGTTTTGCACGCTCTGTCTTTTTAATGTCTCGTCCATTCTACGAGCCCGATTGCATCAACATTAAACGTGTTGATTTGCATATACGGTGATATACTTACGGACGCACTTTGGTGCATATATCGTGAGCGTAAGAATCGATTTTAATCAACGAAGAGATCAATCAACGAAGCGCCCCATGCTTAAGGATCCGTGCCAAGGTTTCACATGTCAACTTTGTCATGAACTCTGGAGCATCTAATTCATGAGATATAAGTCGTGTTTGACATGAACTGACTTGCCACAAATCCGGTGGCTAATTATATACAGAGTTCAATGCTGCTGGGCCCAATGCCAGTCTAGAGCCACTTCTTAAAATAAGACCTGCTGGGATCACATATGCAGCATGCAAGGGACCATGGGAGGATACCATAATACTGTGCACCTTGTTGGTTGGTAGGCGGGTGCCATGGCCTCGTGGTGGTGCGATCACCGCTTATTTATTGTAGAGGTTCACAGCTTGAATCCAGCAGCCAGCCTCATTATTACTGCGGGTGTAATAACTGTAATAGTACTGTACGACATGCCGTTTGCTGCACAGTAGACGTTAAAGATCCCCCGAAGGCATTCGCAAGCACAGACTATTGCGCACACTCCGTCAGGCCTCCGTAAGGAGAACGAAAAGTAATGATCAAAGCCCCAAGTTTTGAAAAACAAACATCTCCATCTATCAACTTGATTTATTTTTGCTTGCGCACATGCCACTGTCACCACGCGCTGCAGCCCGGCACTAAAGCACGGCGGCCTACTGGTAGGCTGTGAGCGAACTCACGGTCACGGCGATCGCCAAGGTCTCAAACAAAACGCGCGTTGAGATGCAAAACTGCCAGGGCCACCCTTCTGTTTCCTCTGCAGAGACACCTTGAGTGATCGTACATTTTCCCATGTGACAGGTGTATTTTTGCACACGTTATGGCCTCAGTCTACGCACGCCTGCAGCACTGCATGCTCTGGCAGAGGTGTCAAATTCAGCTCTTGCCCTTCTTATTCGGCCCTAAGGGGTTGGAGTCTCTGCTCTAAGAGAGGGTAGGCGCAGGGGGGGTTGTGCATGTGCATGTGCGTGCGTGAGTGAGTGCGAGTTTCGCATAAGGTCAAGCATCCGGGAATTTTCGTTCGTTTGGCTTTCTGATGGATGATTTAGAAAATTAACATCGGCGAGTGACTTTCATCCCAAACAAACCCCACAAATTTGCATATACTTTAAAACAAATATGCGGATCATCGTTGCCTTTTATAATTTTTCAGTGCTGAGCCCATTAATCAGAGCCATTAATTTATTACGAAAATTTCTTTTTATGCAAACAATTGGAATCGGCGGCCAGCGTGGCGCGGTGATGATGAGCAATGACGACAAAATCCTCAACGCATATCAACCCTGTACATGAAATGTGCTTCTACCAGTCCCCTGTGTGGAGTCTATTTATTAAATCGAACGAATATAAAGTAATTAATCCAATTATTAATTTATCCAATAAATCCAAGAATAATCTCACAGATGAATCGATGATTTTAACAGTCGACAAACTGCAGCACAACTAAACACGGAAGAGGGAACAGCAAAACGACACAAACTCTACCCTGAAGCCCGCTTATCGCCGTGGCCAGCAGAACTCGACATTGCAATATAACTCCTGAACCTATTGCTGCCATCGCGTGCAAGAACGGGAATAATTGTACAGCGCCGTAAAGATGCGTGCAATTGTTGTGCTGTTGCGAGACAAGCAAAGTGCTCTCTACCAGGGAGCGGAGCATGCCATCAGCCCTCGCCTCTTGCTCCAGGGTCCCCATCTCCATGCTGCTCAGTGCCGATAAGCTCCAATCCATGAAGTGCGGGAGGTGTTTCTGCTTCACGTCCGGTCGGGTCACAAACCTGCCGCCGCCGACATCATCGCGTCACGAAAAACGATAGCGACTTGTTCACCGATGCGCCGTGAAGAAGGGCCATTGCCGGAAACGCCACCTTTTAGATAATTTTTTCCTTACGTGGCCACGGTGGTATCGACAAATGCGTTGAGTTTTTTGTTGTTGTTTTTGTTATGGCGCCCTCCTCTACGCTGGGGCGTTTCAAAGCACTTGACACGCAACCAGCCACTTACATCGCATCTCATCTCAAACAATAGAAAGGGCACTGCCAGTGGCAGCTGTCCCTGTGTGGAACAAGGTGGCTTAAGCACCTCACCTGCAATTGGGCATTCGTGTGCCAGTAGTGGGAAATTATTTACTTTAAAATCTGTAACACGTATAAACGCACATGCTGTGAGAAAAGGATGACCTCATATCAAGACAGTGCTGCCAATTTATCCGGAAAACGTTTTACAATGCACTAATTTCACTACTGAAATTAGTGCATTGATTAACAGCTTAGACCTTTGAATATTATATTTCACCAACCATCACCGATCAGGGGAGTGACGATCAGGAGGAGTGACGTGTGGTTAAACAATGTCCAAAGCTGGCAAGGCTTGGTGAGGTCTAGATCCAGCAGTGGATTGACAAAGGGCTGCAATTTGCGTTGTATTCTCATATTCAGAACGCTCATGTAAACGGCACTGTATATACACCGTATGTAATTATTCTAAACTTCAGAGAATCCTGTAAAATAGTTCAGGTCCAACTTAGTACATTAGAGACCATTACTTTGGCTCAATGAGCCACAAAGGCTGACATGGAAGCATCTATATTTCTAAGCATCACACACTAAAGCCAAACCTTACAAAATGTTGCCACCTGGTGGCCAACGCTATGATCCTGAAATGTGCATCCTCTCCCCCCCCCATATCCATCCCTCCACATAACAAAACATGTTTTGCACAACCCATCAGCCATACGCTCTCTTCTCGGGGTGTATCACTTCAGCAGTATTGCTTCAATACAAGAAAATCCTGGACCGGTTTAAACATTCAGTGTGCTGAACGGCTGGTGGCGTCCTCTGGTTGGTAAGGTATTGCGCTTTGGAGAACTGTCTTCTGGAAGATGATTTAAACGTCTAGATTAGCACGCGTCTTTCCAGAAAACAAACGCAATCACCGGATTACAAGACGCACCCTAACTTTTGCTTCAAACTGCAGGGAAACAAAGCATGTTTTTAATCGAGAGAATACGGTACTCTTAACAATAGACCACCACGTATATGGCTGCCGATCACTCAGAATGATGTGTTAATTAAAGTAACCATGATGGATTTGGGATATCTCGCTCAATTCCACTCACTTACTTTGCCACGAGGGTTGCGGCGGCATTTCGGGGTAAATCTGTCACCACGAGGTACGTCTGCTCCAGAAGCACGAGGAAACAAAGCCATTAGCCGACTAAACAACCGAAACACAGGCGGACACAACTACAGCTCACGACGACTGTCGTTCCAAACAGTCAATTGATATAAAGTTTGCATGCAACGACTGCAGTAAGTGCCGTATGATGAGGAGAGGAGGTATGGTGGATGTGGTGTGCTGGGTGTGGCTGGAACTACTGCGTGGCATTGGCTAGAATTTTTTCTTTTTGGAGTCACAAATCAGCCCAATTATAAGATTATTTTCAGTTTCCCTTTTAACGTCTCATGGTATCGCTCGTTATACCATCTTATTCCCCTTCAATGTCTTTAAAATCTGCCGATGGTGGCTCTCCGACAGTGTCAATATCTTTAAGCCCCAAGTAGAAACACATCTCTTTAAAAAAAAAAGGTCCTCTTCGATATGGCTCTTATTTTTTCCACCTGGTTCCTTCTCTATTATCCTTGTACTTTTCAAGCATGGCGCCTTGGGACACTGTGAAAGGCGCCTACTCGGTGCAAATTATGATGATTATTGCTAAGCGCTGCCTTGTTTACTAACGACGAGCATGGCTTTGTTTTGGCGGCGGAGAAAGCACCTTGGCGACGTCGAGGACGCGCTCCATCACGGGTTTGCGCTCGGTTCCACTCGCGCCCCCGGGCAGCGCTCCGTCGAAGCGCGTCAGGTCGAAGGGAATGAGCGACAGCATGGAGAGCCACAGCAGCAAGATGTATCGCGTCTGCCACGTCTGCAACGCACATGACACCAGGGCCCAGAGACAATGGTTCCTCGATTGTCCGTGACTACCCCGGCGGGTCAAGCGAAGCTGCCCAGCCTGGTGGCCGATCAGCTGTTGCTGCGCCCTATACCCGCATGATTTTATTTTATTAAATTATTGCACAATTACTACATTTTAATTTCATTTATTCGTAACTTCTCACGTCAATTCTTCGAAGCCAATATCATGATTAAAAAAATATTTTGGGTAAGGCCGATTTACATGTGGAATTTCCACTTAATAGCAACTAAATATAAAATGTATTATTTTCCATTTCATATAAAAAATCACTACTCTACAGTTTACGCTGAGTCACTTACCATCACCGTGAAGGCAAGAGGAAAGGCCGAGATTCAGCAGATGTGCAAAGCTGCAGATATTTGTTTGTAGGAGTGAAAACTTATCTAGTACTTCTGAAATAACACCTCAATAAATGTGAAAAACTAGAGCATACGCAGAACACATGGGTTCTCCAAATGCCATGGAACAGATACGTATATAGCTCTAGAATGGCTAGTGCACACACGCGAATCAACACTGCTCAGGGACCCCATACTCCACGTGACCACCTCATTGTTCATGGTGTCACGTGTACTCCCGGGGCCACGCGCGTACCCCCCCCCCCCACCGGAGCCACGCACGTGCACGTACACCGCCGGAGCCACGCGCGTACCACAGGTTGGGAACTGCTGATGGTCCACAGCAGTGTCCTGATAATGACTGTGATATTATCCACGCTGCATTGATCATGATCATCAGCTTCAATGGAAGCAAATGCAAAGTAATGAATCACAACTAAGTGGTTTAACAATTTGCCAGTAACTTCCCTTGCAGTGTAACTGGATCAACAGCAAAGAAAAATAAACAAGCTGAAGCCCACAGACGGCCAATAAATACGCATCTCAACCTGGACGGTGGAGTCTGTGTGCCAACTCACCTCTCGATCCACGGGGTCTTGAGCCTCGAGCAGAGCCAGCACTGGCTCAAAGTCCGCCACTTCGTGCGGGAATAAACGGATGAAGGGTTTGTAGGTGCGCACCTACAAACCCGAGGCACGGGATTAACATGCTAGATTCCACACGTTACCTTCACCATCATTATGATATCTCATCCATAGTACCACTATTAATCCACTTGGCACAACAATCTCACTTAAGCTGCCATCTCAAACATTAGAATTGCTTGCGGCAGTTCAGTCTGTGGTCCCCCACTGGCAGCTGTCCATTTGCGGCACAAGGTGTACACAGCATCGACCTGCAAATGGGTATAGTCTGCCACCAAGGGGTGATGTTGCTACATGGATTTTCCAAATTAAGTCATTTGTCTTAAGTCATTCAATAACGGTTACATTTCAACTACATTAAAATTGTGCTTAGGAGTTTCATGCCATGAGACAGAGAATTTAGCATTAGAAACGCTCAGTTAAAGCAGTGCACTACCTCACGTTAAAATATTTCCCCTGGAAGGGGATATCACAGAAATATTTCCGCGATCAATATTCAATTGACTAATTTTTACACTGGCGGTGCTGCGTCTTCTCTCACCATACTACCCAGATGTCAATCGTGGAAATCAACCTGAATATTGGCAAGTGCAAAATATTTTGAACGCAATCTGTTTTTAGTGCAGTCATTTATGACCGAGCTAAGATGACTAACTCGCTACACTTTGTGTAATCGTGAGTTTGCCTGGATTTGAACCCAGGATATTAGCAGTGCATGGACATGGTATTAGCCAATGCCCAAGAGGAAAACCAAATAATATCATTTATTCACAAAATTCTAATCATGTCCATTAAATTTATCACCTAGCTTGTACCAGCTGAATTCCAAGCTCTGCTTTACCCAATGCTTCTGCTGAAGCAGTCACATTCTCCACCGCTAGATGGAGTCCTATTCAGAGGACTGCATGCACCAACACGTTTCTAAGCATTATTGTTCAGCTTATTTACCCAGGAGAGGCACGTGCACTGCGGCTGAAATGCCAGTAAATCATCGCAGCCCACCAGTGCGCCAATGGAGCACAAGAAGGTCACATATCCAGAGGGCAGTGGGTCTACAAGAATCAATACCTTGGAGATTATGTACAGGAACTTGCAGGTGATGTGCATGAGGTCAGGCGAGTCTTCGGACCTCACCATAGGCAACATCAAGTCCAGCATCCACTCTGTCAACAACACGTGTGCACTACATGTGGCTCAGTGGCTCAGTGATCTGTTGCCTGATGCATGCAGAGAGAATGCTTGCGAGTTCAGACAAGTACAGTAGTAGTTTTGACAAAATTCTAGTCATTAATAACGCAAATATTGTCATAAAACTACCGCGTGGCTTCACCCAAAAACAAAATAGGGATCCTATCATTGGCTACGAAAACCTACACTTTCATTTTCACTCCGTCAATACCAAACACGTCCGAGAATAACTTCATAGAATTCAGAGGTTTATACATTGCTATGAGGTGCAAATGTTGTGGCATTTCATATACTGTTTCAAGGTTGAGCAATCACAAGATGAGAATTTATCATCATCAGTCGTTTTAAACTAAAATCATTCAAACAACCGACTCACAGGAGCGAATAATCCAAACGCCTTTATTGAAGACCACACGGCAATTATGTGATACACAAAGTGAAGTGGCGTGTATGCTGAAGAGGAATATACTGACCCAAATGTGGATCCAGTAAGTGTGGCTGCTCCTGGTATTTGCTCATTATCACTGCATGGGAACAAATAACAATCATTAGTTTAACACGTAGGCTTTCGCGACCAATATTATTCATAATAAAGGTTTTTGGGTTAGATCGCGTTTATTTATAAATGTGTCGTAACCCTCCACCACCCGACACGGCCAATCAGCAAAGAAAAGTGTCACGTTGACAAAAGACAAATAATTCACTACTTCAGCCCACCGGTGTGTTGAAGAGTTAATCCACATTTACAGTTTGAGTACGACGTTTCGCTGGTAAATACTTCCAGCATCATCGGGCAATTCGCCAGAATGGTAAAGCCCTCGCTTGCTCCCGGTTTTATATAGAGCAGAAGAGTGACGTCATCACTTAACTCATCAGGTGCAGTGATTAGAGGCGGAGGGGGGGGTAATGTAATTATATAATCGATTAGTAATCAGTCATTGGTTATGATTAGTAATGAGTTGTAGATTAGTAATTCTTTAAATCAAAATGTAATGTGTATTATTTAATAATACGCTTCCAGGCCGCACTGAGCCGGTAGCTGTCAGAGCGATTAAAGTTATTCTTGTTCCTCTCAATTTCCGATATTCCGAAACTTGCTGGCCATTGCTTAAATAACACTTACTTCTTATGGAGAGGGGATTTCTTTAAACAAAAGGAAGGAGCAGCAATGGGTTCTCCTTTATCCCCTGCTATAGCAAATTTGTACATGGAAAACTTTGAAATAAGAGCACTTGCCTCGAGCACATTAAAACCATCCTTTTGGTTTAGGTATGTGGATGACACTTTGGTTGTCTGGCCACATGGTAAAGATACACTTAATGATTTTCTAAATCATCTCAATGCACAAAACCCGGCCATCCAGTTCACCATGGAAATGGAGGTGAATAATACACTCCCATTCCTAGATATTTTGCTTGGACATGGCCTAAACGGTAAAATAACACACAGCGTTTACAGAAAGCAAACGCACACTGATGCCTATCTGAATGCAGAATCACATCATCATCCAGCTCAAAAATCCTCTCTTATTAAGACGCTCGTGCATCGGGCGAAAACAGTGTCAGATGGTGAGAGTCTAGTGAGAGAGATTAAACACGTTAAAGACGCACTACGACAGAATGGCTACAATAATGCTCAAATTAACAGAGCACTGAATGCCAAATCACGATCGCAAAGCAATACTACTGAAAGCGACCAGATTGTTAAAACAATAAAAATTCCATATATCTCAGGAGTAACTGACAAATTAGCCCGCGTTTTGCAAAAGCAAAACATTACAGTAAGATTTGGTACAGTACACAAAATTCAAAAACTAGTATCTTGCACTAAAGACGCATTACCTAAACTATCAACAGAAGGTGTATATCGGATTAATTGTTCATGTGGCAGCTGCTACATTGGGCAGACGGGACGTAACATCAGCGTAAGACTAAAAGAACATCAGAGAAATATTAAATTATCTCAAACACAACTGTCGGCAGTGGCAGAACATGCTTGTCAACAAGGACACTCAATTGATTTTGACAATGTTGCAGTGGTGTGTAAAACTAATTATTACTGGCAAAGACTAATCAGAGAATCCATTGAAATTGAGAGGAACAAGAATAACTTTAATCGCTCTGACAGCTACCGGCTCAGTGCGGCCTGGAAGCGTATTATTAAATAATACACATTACATTTTGATTTAAAGAATTACTAATCTACAACTCATTACTAATCATAACCAATGACTGATTACTAATCGATTATATAATTACATTACCCCCCCCTCCGCCTCTAATCACTGCACCTGATGAGTTAAGTGATGACGTCACTCTTCTGCTCTATATAAAACCGGGAGCAAGCGAGGGCTTTACCATTCTGGCGAATTGCCCGATGATGCTGGAAGTATTTACCAGCAAAACGTCGTACTCAAACTGTAAATGTGGATTAACTCTTCAACACACCGGTGGGCTGAAGTAGTGAATTATTTGTCTTTTGTCAACGTGACACTTTTCTTTGCTGATTGGCCATGTCGGGTGGTGGAGGGTTACGACACATTTATAAATAAACGCGATCTAACCCAAAAACCTTTATTATGAACAATCATTAGCTAAAACAATAAATAAGCAATGTCTTCTTCACGTATTGATCTCGCCACCTTAAAAAAATATGAAAGTATGTCTTACACACCCCATCGGCCCCGCAGCCTTCTGTAAAATAATACATTCAGCAGCATTGATTCAAGCAAACTCTAGACCAGTTCCAACATATCATCGGCAGGATATATGGGTCCTTGGTCAACACAAAATAATACTGGTAGGAATCTCCTGGTTACACCAGCCCACAGGGGATTATTGTGTCCGTCCGTCCTGCATCCAAAAATGGGAGGGGTGGGGCTGGTTGGAGAGGGGAGGGTGGGGAGGGGCTGGGTGGGGAGGGAGGGGCTGGGTGGGGAGGGGCTGGGTGGGGAGGGTGGGGAGGGGCTGGGTGGGGAAGTTGGGGCTGGGTAGGGAGGGTGGGGAGGGGCTGGGTGGGGAGGGTGGGGCTGGGTGGGGGGTGGGAGGGGTGGGGCTGAGTGGGGAGAGGCTGGTCACCCCGTGGTGCCCTTATAAAACTCAACGTTTAACCTACTCACTCCGGCTTGTGCCCGCCCTCACAGTCGGGCATATTTGCAGAATACACCACGCCGCCGTTGACCCTGGCCATTGACCGAGCAACCCAACGTTCCTACCAGCTCCCTCCGCAGGAATTTGTTATAACACGTAAAACCAAAAAATAATGAGCGTCGTTGTGGAGACAATCTCTCCTTCAAATATCTGTCCACAACCCACCGGCTCTATGGCCTCGTGGGTACAGTTTTTGCTTGTATTAAATCAATGCTGCTGAAATTACGCACTCCCACAAGGCGGTGTGGCAGATGGGTTGAGTAAGAGATACTTTAAGAGTAGGCTTTCCCCTTTTCTGGCAACAAAACAGGTGTTAAGATACTCTTTGGGTCTTTCGGTAAAGTCACGTAGATAGAAAAATAACTAAATTTTAAGAAATCACCACGTTTCGATCGCAACACAAGCAATCGTCTTCAGGTGAAAAAATACAGCAGGCGGATCTACGTGACTTTACCAAAAGACCCAAAGAGTATGAATTCCTGCAGTCACGAAAGCTTTAAGTCAAGATTTAGGTGTTAAGATGTTAAAATACCAAGCAGAAACCTTTTGCAAGGAATCATGTCTGCATTAACCACATATACTTGTGGTGAAAATACAAACAAAAAAACATGCTCTGACAGTAAATGCATTGTCTGATTGAAACTGATTGGTCCACACCAGAGACAGCTTTCTTTAGAGCCTAGTCTCAAACAGTGGTAGACCAGAGGACGCCAAAAGGCGTACAGCCCAAAGACAATGCATCATCAGAGAAATGAGAGCTCGGGGTGAGCACCTACATCATGTGACCTCCATTGCCAGTGTCAAAATATAAGGTTTTCCCCTTTTTTCTGGCAACAAAACAGGTGTTACGATGTTAAAACACCAAACTGCATTAACCACAGATACTTGTGGTGAAAATACAAACAAAAAACATGCTCTTACCAAAATACCCAAAGAGCATGCTCTGACCAGCTACATCATGGGACCTCCCATGTGCTGGTGTGGACCAATCAGTTTCAAAGACTGCATATCCTATCAGAGTATTTTTTTGCATTCTGACCACAAGCATTGTGGTGAATGCAGACATGATTCCTTGCAAAAGGTTTCAGTTTTTTTTTACATCTTAACACCTAAATTTTGATTTAAAGCTTTCGTGACTGCAGGGATTCATATTCTTGGTTCTTTCGGTAAAGTCACGTAGAAGGGAAATAATAAAAATATAAAACAATACAATTCTCACAACGTTTCGACCAACACAAGCAATCATCATCAGGTGTGAAAACCACAGCAAGAAAATGTATTATTTTATTGTTTCCCTTCTACGTGACTTTACCGAAAGAACCAAGAATATGAATATCTTAACACCTGTTTTGTTGCCAGAAAAAAGGGGAAACCCTATTCTTATATTTTGGCACTGGCAAAGGAGTTCCCATGATAAAAAATATACTTTTATTACGTGTCGAAACAGATATATAAAGGATAAATTGCCTGCGTATCCATTGCATCGTTACTGATATTCTCAATTAAAATTAACCATTTGCCGAACAGAGCATTGACATGGAGTTTACTTCCAATTGATGACAATGCAAGGGGACCCAGTGGGCTACTTGCCTGGCTGTAACGCCGCAGTGCAGCAAAATCCACTGACATCGAAATTCGCTGCTGCTGCTATCATCATCATCATCCACGTGCACTGACCAGCGTGGCGTGGGGAGGCCTACATCCAGCAGTGGAGTGACAAGGGGCTGTACCCCTTCCAGAACTGGACACATTTGATTTATTTTCAGACATTTACATTTAAGATTACAAATTAATTATATGCACCCGCGATTCCAAACGTGAGGGGAAAGCGAACCCCTGCCTCACCCAAATATACAAGCCAAACTCCGCCTATGGCTGTACATTGTTATTATTAAGATTACTACTGATTCTATACATATTGATATGCCAAATGTTACTTTTTTGCGCAAAGCAGTGAACAAGCATGTAACAAACGAGCCGGACAACACAATGAGAAACAGTACCATTGGGACAGCAAAAACGAGACCAGAATATGTTTCTAAACGAATTGCAGCTCTGAATCCCGGCAATGAATGGAATTGCGCCATTGGCCGGGGACTCGTGACACCACCAGATCCCTTATCTTGACTAAATAAAGACACGACCCTACCGATATTGAAATCACAAGACACCGACATCGTTTCGTCTCATCCAGAACCAAACTGAATCACAACTCTGCAGGTAACGACGACAAAAGCTCTCCGTTGGCTTGCTCCCTCCACCTCTGTTATGTTCACGAGTTCAATGGCGAAAGTGCGTCGAGGCCTGCTCGCTAACGTGACAGGTTGGGTGGGTGGGGGGCCTTGACGAGCTGATGTCGTCGTTGTTGTTGTTGTTACAGCGTTGTTGTTGCTGTTGTTACAGCGTTGCACTTGTCGACATTAAAACCGCGCTCGTTAGATGATCACGCGCGTGTTGTGTGTGTTCAACTATTAACTATTTTATTTTTATTTTACCAGGTAAGGCCCACCGAGCTATCGATATTGCTCGTGGCTGTCTCGTCTTGTGGAAATGTACACAGCAGCAGGCGTCGTCAGGGGTCGGGATCGAACCCCACGGCCACGTGTACACCAGGCGAGGTAGTTAACATCTCCTAGCCACGATGTTGTGGATGTTGTGTGTGGATGTTGTGTGTGTGCCCCCCCGTTCCGCACAGAAGAACCGCTCGGTGATCTTCTCGTTGTCGCCGGGCTGCGAGGCGGCCCCCGGGAGCGCGGCAAGCAGTCGGCGGACCTCCTCGACGTCCGAGAAGGCGTAGAGGACGCAGCTCAGCGCCTCCAGCTCGCCATCCTCCTCCTGCTCCTCCTTGCCGCCTCTTCCCGTCTCGCTGCGAGTCATTCTCCTCGTCGCTTGCTCGGAGCCCGTGAGGCAACTCGCGAGTTTGCTGGACTGCTGCAACGCGTGACGATGTCTGGGTCTGCCCGCTCGCTGACCACCAGCACAGTAACAGCACCACCACAGTAACAGCAGCAGCAGCGAGTTTTAATCTCGCCGCCAGTAACCCGGAATTGTATTGGGGGGTGGGGAGCGCCGCATCCGGAGCGGGCACTGTGGGAGGGAGGGAGGGAGCGAGTCTCAGCAGGGACGTGGTGGGTGGTGCTGAGGGTGAGGGTGGTGGTGGTGAGGGTGGGTGGTGAGGGTGAGTGATGGGGGTGGTGTTGGGGGTGGTGGTGGTGGTGAAGGTGGTGGTGATGAGGGTGGGTGGTGGGTGTGGTGGTGATGGTGATGAGGGTGGGTGATGGTGATGATGGTGGGCGGTGGGGGTGGTTGTTTCTCGACGATTCTTCGGCTTCGATGGAAGCGGAGACGAACGGGTTGCTCGCTCCCTCGCTCGCTCGCTGTGACGCAGCACCCTCAAGTGACGCTTCACTGAGATGTCTCAACGGGTCCGTAGTTTTATTTTTCCTGAGACGGTTCAAGTAACGCTGCTGATTTTGTGGTTATGGACTCCCAACGAGGCCGTCGTGCGGCTGACGGGATGTGTGAAACGACTCTCTATGTTGGAGAGAGAGAGATGTAGTGTGAGTCGGGATGGATGGAGGCGTGTTCTCTTTATTTTGCAAGGCGCCGTTCTTGGCCCGAGAGGCGCGAAATCCGTTCGGGGGAGGGGAGTGGACGGGCTGCGGCGTGGATACCGTGCAGGAGAAATCGCAGTAATGAATAATCGGTGATTATTTCCACGTTCCGGTTTACCCGATTTGCGGATTAAGCGTGCACCTGAGATTTTGACATCAATTAATAAACTCGTGGATTTTCGCCATTAGCCCAAACTAATAAAAATTAAAAAAACAGTCACACAACAATGTTATTCTTAGACATGTTTATTGCAAGCCACGTGCTTTAACGGAACACATTTGTTACACTGGTTAATCCGAAATCCACGCGACCGCCTCTACAGTACAGTAGTTGCAATATCTTTACAAGAGCGGGCGAAGTTTGATGTTGATTGGCGTGGCTCTGCGATCATCCACTTAGGGAGCAGCGTCTTCTGCGCGTCAAAGTGTAATCACCGAGCACGCATAGAGGGGCCGTCCATAAATGACGTCACGCGATTTTGGAAGATTTTTGACCTCCCCACCCCTCGTCACACGGCGTCACAAAAAGTCAGACCCCCCCTCAAATATGACGTCACAAAGCTCGGCCCCCCCCCCCCCCCCCAAAGAAAAACATGCTTCAAATCGCTTTAAACTATTGTCATTGTAGTGCGTATTTACTGTGGCGCTGCACTCTGATGATGTAGGAGAAAACATTAAAAACTCTATTTAATTAAGTAGAACGTGTTGGCTATATTTAAAGTTGTGCATTTTGATGTGACGTCACATTTCTCAACCCCCCCCCCTCGTCACACATCGTCACAAATGTCTAACCCCCCCCCCCCCCAGGTGCGTGACGTCATTCATGGACGGCCCCAGAGTTCTACGGAAAATGGTTATATTTTTATTATATTATCCGCTATTTTGAATCTCCCGGGGCCGGCATCCCCTGTCATGAGCGCGGATAATCGAGTCTACTGACCGAGGGCTCGATATCCGCTTGTGATGATGGGGTGATTTGCCACAGTACTCGCCTCCTGTCCTCCAGCCCTGAACTAGTGGTGGAAATTCCACATTCATGTGGTGGATATTAAGGCACTACGGTACATCCTACACTCCATCAAGATTCAGCCGCATATGGAGTATCATCAGAGGTATATTCCAACACTTTTATCATGGCCTCGCTTAAGTTGTGGAGGGCCATTGCCCGAATCATCTATTATTTATTTATTTTGAAGGAAATGTTACGAATGTGTTTCGTTTTTTCGTTACCTGTACAATAGTGTTGTAAGCAGTCAGTTGCCGCTATTGTGTGGTATAATGTATAACACTTGAAGCCCGGAGAAACACTCCCACCGTTTTAAATTTTAACCCATGTTTGGGCTCTTTTCCAAAACTGCCCCCAGGTACTTGCGCTGCCTCCTTCCAGCAGTTAACTGCTACGTACCAACATTTCTTTTTTATTTTCTGTGACGCATGCAGGGACTTTTACTATTTAATGAAAAAAAATCAGTGAGTGGGCTTGGGCATGACAGGTCGTGAGAAGGTGGTCGGCACTAGCAACGGAATGGCAGCCAAAGCAGAGCACACGCGGCCGAGAGAGAGAATGTTCGCCGTGGAGATGGAGCGATGAAGCCAACTCGGGCGCAGGTGCGAGATGGATCGTTAGTTACATTGCAGGACGGCGAGAGATAAGAACGGCTCGATTAAGGTTCGGTTTCATTTTGGCACAGGTAAAAAAAACATTGGGCAATAAATGATCAATCGATGCGGACCTGGTTACAGAAACATGGTTGTAGCAACAACAGCAACAAAAATCCACGAACAATCTAAAAACCACATGGTCACGTTCCAAATGGCAAGGTCGTGTCAAGGAGCCGTCCATAAATGACGTCACGCGATTTTGGACGATTTTTGAACCCCCCCCCGCTCGTCACACGGCGTCACAAAAAGTTAGACCCCCCTCAAATATGACGTCACAAAGCTCTGCCCCCCCAAAACCATATTTCCATTTTTCTTATTCTTAGCTCTTTCGGTAAAGTCACGTTGAAGGGAAACAATAAAATAATAAAATATATATGAAACAATAAAAATTCTCACGACGTTTCGTCAAATGACGACCGTTTGTGTTGTGGTCGAAACGTCGTGAGAATTTTTTATTGTTTATATATTTTATAATTTTATTGTTTCTCTTCAACGTGACTACCGAAAGAGCTAAGAATATGAATTACTGCAGTCACGAAAGCTTTAAATAAAAATTCATATTTCCATTTTGAAATTAAAACATGCTTCAAATCGCTTTAAACTATTGTCATTGTAGTGCGTATTTAATGTGGCGCTGCACTCTGATGTTGTAGGAGTGCTATAACAATTCTATATTTATTTAAAGTTGCGCATTTTCGTGTGACGTCACATTTCCCAACCCCCCCAGGTGCGTGACGTCATTTCTGCACGGCCCCCAAGATGAAAGGCTTGTCATGGGACCTCTTATCTGGCAACATCACAGAGTAACAAAACAGGTGTTAAGATGTTAAAACACCAAACTTAAACCTTATACAAGGAATCATGTCTGCATTAACCACAATACTTGTGGTCAGAATGCAAACAAAAAAACATACTCCGACAGTAGATGCATTTCTATTCTTAGCTCTTTCGGTAAAGTCACGTTGAAGGGAAACAATAAAATAATAATATATATAAAACAATAAAATTCTCACGACGTTTCGACCATAACACAAACGGTCATCATCACACCTGATGATGACCGTTTCTGTTATGGTGACCGTTTGTGTTATGGTCGAAACGTCGTGAGCATTTTTTATTGTTTTACATATATTTTATTGTTTCCCTTCAACGTGACTTTACCGAAAGAGCTAAGAATATGAATTACTGCAGCCATGAAAGTTTTAAATCAGTAGATGCATTGTCTATGAAACTGATGGGTCCACACCAGAGACAGTTTTATTTCGAGCCTAGTCTCACCGCTGTTAGACCAGAATTCGCCGAAAGGCATATAATACAAAGACAATGCATTATCAGGGTAATGAGGGCTCGGGGTGAACAGCTACATCATGGGACCTCCTTTGCCAGTACCAAAATATGATAATAGGTTTTTTTCCCTTTGTTCTGGCAACAAAACAGCTGTTAAAACAGGTTAAAACACAAGTATCGTGGTTAATGCAGACATGATTCCTTGTAAAATATTTAAGTTTGGTGTTTTAACATCGTAACACCTATTCTTGGTTCTTTCGGTAAAGTCACGTGACTTTACCGAAAGAACCAAGAATATGAATCGCTGCAGTCACGAAAGCTTTAAATCTAAATCTTAACAGCTGTTTTGTTGCCAGAAAAAATGGGAAACTCTATTATCATATTTTGGTACTGGCAAAGGAGGTCCCATGATGTAGCTGCTCACCCCTGCTCTCATTACTCTGATAGTGCTTGTATTTGGGCTGCACGCCTATTCTCATGAAGGGCTTGGTTAAGCCCTTCATCCAGCAGTGCCCAGACCACGTCTCGTTTTGCATACGTGCTGACGTCACGACGCAAGACCATTGAACTCTTGGCAGGCACGTCAAAACAGTGACGTAATCACGCACAAACCAGTCACTGCCGTTCGGCGGTGACGTCGACGATGCATGCCGAATATCACCCTGACAACCCGATAGGGTGTGCGTAACGACGTCATCGCGCACACCCGCCGCCCGAGGCGTGCGTGGATGACGTGCGTGAAGACGTCATCGGGTGTGCCTCTCCTGCCCTAGCGGTGCGTGGTGGCGTCATCACGCACGGTCCTCGGCCCGCCGTTGGTGTGCGTGGTGACCTCATCGCGCAGCTCTCTCGCCAGTTGAACAGAAGCAAAACAATCGCCCGCGTCAAGGAAAGATGTCCCTGCTCGACCTCGTCTCCAACCCGTTCGGCACGGCTGTGGGCCACCGCATCGGTAAAAGGAAACGCGCCGCCGCTCCCCACTTTCGTGTTTTCGTTCGGCCACCGCGTGAGCCGCCGACTAATGACGCCGAGCGATCCGGGTCTCGTAGCCGGGCTGCGGCCTAGTGCAGCTTTGGGAAGCCTCGGTCTCTCCTTAAGGTTGTGGGGTTTTACTGCGCCCTGGGCCGGCGCCGCTGGGGGTGCAGCCCCGGCTGCACCGAGGTCGCGACGATTCGTGATTTTTTAATACATGCAGTTGTGGGTTTTGTAAAAAAAAAGGGAAAACCTGAATGTGTCGCTTTCTTGTTAAATTCTAAAGCAAAAAAAACAATTAGCTGATTAAAGTGTTGCGACCATATTTATAAACAGATGAGGCGCTTTCGTGCACAGCGGGTTGTCAAAATGTGACTGACATGACGTAGGCAATTCGAGCACCCTGTACACGATACGATTCTCGAGACTGTCCCAAATGCCTAAGTACTATTTAATTATGAGTATACGCATAATGTATGTGATGTTAATCCACTGCTGGATGAGGGCCCTCCCCACGCCGTCCCGATTATTGGGGTAGTTTTGACCATTCTTCACGCTGGTCAATGCGGTTTGGTGAAGG